CAAACCATAGCCCCCTAAAACCTCTAAATCCCAACCCCTAAACCCTAAACCCCCCAACCCCTAAACCCTAAACCCCTAAACCCTTAAACTTAAACCCTGAACCCTAAACCCCTAAACCCGTACGGTTCAGGGTCTTGAATTTGGGGAGTTACGGCTTCAGCAGAAGAGCTTCGGGATAAGCCTCCTGGGCCCAAAGCCCTAAATACTTAGAAAGTGATCCCTTTGGGGCCCTAGAACCAAGCCGAAAATGAGTTTTTGGGTGCCTTCATCTCCAAGCCCTGAACCCTAAGCCCTCAAAACATCATCCCTTCCCAGCCCAAAGCCCCGACCCCAAACCCTGAAAAAAAGCCATCCAATTCGGGGTCCTAAACCCTATTTGCCGAAGCGCTAAACGCGAAACCCTCAAGAAGTGATGCCCTTTTGGCCTGATCTCCCGAAGACCAGGCAGAGTCGTCCACCTCGTCCTTGGGATGCGGCACTTAGTTGCTGAGTGGGTTGGGTTGTAATCATAAGAAAATACGAACCCTAAACCCTAAACCCTAATCTCAATCCGGCCCCAGGCCCTCCCAGAATCTCTGGCCCCGTTTATAAGCCCCATAAAGTGTACACTTTCAGTTCTATCAGGGAGTAGAATATCCCAAGAAGTGTACAGTGTATTCACTCGGCTACGAAGTGCAGGAAAGGCGAGGGCGGGGAGTAATGTAGTTCTTGGGTGTAGGGTTTAGGGTTTAAGGCTTTGCGTGTAGGGCTCAGGGGGTAGTGCTTAGGGTTTAGGGTTTAGGGTTGACGGTAAGGGTTTAGGGTTTAGGGTAACGAAATCGTCTCAATAGTTCGACCAGGGTTTTGGCAGTGTACCGGAGTATAACCATGGAAGGGCTATAAGAGGACATCATTTCTACTCATGTTTAATGATGAAAGACCTCTATATTAAGCTTTCGGAGTGCACGGAAGGTTCGGAGCGGCGGGGCTTGAGATTGGGCATGCAGATTCGGTGTGTTCAAAGCCTCGAGTCTGGCCAGTGACGGTTTAGACTTTTGGGTTTACCGTCCGGGTAAGAACAGCACTCATACATGGACCCTAAATAACCCTCCTTTTTCTGGACTTTTACAAAGACATCATCATAAGGAGCCTTAAGCAGAGGCAGCTTCTTGAGGGTTCAGGTAGTCCTACTAAGTCCACTGAACATTGGAGGCCCAACGTAACAGTGAGAAAATGCAATCGCGGGACCCATTGCTTGGCGACAGGATGAAGCTGGCGGGAGTAACCCCAAGGGTCCAAAGGACCCAATAATGAGGTACTTGGGTTTAGGTTGGGTACTGCCCCCCATACAGTAACAGTCGATAATAGGGCTACTACTAAGGTCCTAATATAGCTATGTTATGAATATTATCCAACTGTCACTGAGGGGGGGCAGTACCCAAGGTTTAGGGTAGTGCCTATGTACGTTCATATTTGGGAGAGTGTGTGTGTGGGTATTTTAAGCACTTGGACCCCCAGTGTGAGTACATGACTGTTGTCGTAGTCGCTCACTTGTTCCCCCGGGCACGTGTTATTCCAGGGCTTTCGGGTATAGGCATTACAGGGCTTTAGCGGGTGGAGTATAGGGTTTCTGGCCTTATGGCTTAAGAAAAACAACAAACCTCGACTTCCCGAAAAGCCCAGTAAAAAAAAAAAAAAAAAAAACGAACCTTGAACCTTGACCCCCAATAATAATAATAATCGGAATCACGAAGATAGCAAGAAGAAGAGAACAAGAATACAAATAATACTCACAATGACCGTAGTACTTAAGAACACTGGGTCGTTAATCATAACGATGAGATTAATAGGAACTGATGAAAACAATAACAGCTATAACAACTATAACAATAACAATGATACCAATAATCGCAACAAGGGAAAGAAGGAGAAACTTCCCATAAACACGGTCCGCTGCCCGGGCGCCTGCAGTTGAAGGCTCTCCGCCTTCACTCGGACGAGGCGCCCGCCGTCCAAGCCAACCTCCCGCGCTCTTCCATTAAGAAGCCCTGGCCCTACAGTACAACAGAAGATTAGGGTTCATAATATGACGAACCCTAATGAAGACCCAGGGTCTTTTAAAGCAGGTTGCTGAATTAGGGCTCACTGTTTCAAGCCCGGGGTCGGTATCGTCCTTGAGGGCCAGGTTTTCGGCCAGGACTTCATGGAATCCCTAAACCCCAAACCCTAAAACCTTAAGCCCCAAAAAACCTAAACGCTAAACCCTAAGCCCCAAAAACCCTAAGCCCCAAAAAAAACCCAAAACCCTAAACTCTGAGCCCCCAAAACCCTGAACCCTAAGCCCCAAAAAACAAAACCCTGAGCCCAAAAAACCCCAACAACTCTAAACCGAAAGCCCCAAAAGCCCCAAAGCATAAACCCTAAGCCCTCAAAACCCAAGACCCTAAAACCCAAAAAATGCTTAGGGCTTCGGGACACTAGTTAAAGCCTGAGCCCCAAAGCCCCAAAAAGAGGTCCTAAACTCCAAAGCCTAAACTAAGCCCAGAGCCCCCAAAAACTCTGAAAAAAGGGTCCTAAAACCCCAAACCCTAAACCTAAAACCCTAAACCCTCAAGACCCCATCCCAAACCCTGAGCCCCGAAAACCCCTGAACCCCAATGGACTCTTCGCCTCGAGGCGGCCCGTCTCGTTGGCGAGCTGCGTCACGCGCCCGAGCTGGCCGTTCAGCTGCAACCCAGCCTTTTTTGGATGTAGAGTTTAAGGCTGATGGAGCCTTGTTTTAGGGTTTGGGGTTCAAGGTTCAGACTTTTAAGGGCTCAGGGGCTGTGGGTTTTAGAGTTTAGGTTCTAGGTCTTGAGTTTAGGTTTGGGAGTTCAAGGTTGGAGTTTAGGGTTCAGGGTTTACGGTTAGGAGGGGTTTTGGTTCAGGCGGGGACACACTTTTTTGGCGGCTATTCATAAGGTTCAATGACGGTTATGGAAGGTCCTTTTCGGGTTCTAGAAGAACTTTGCGGCTGCGTTTGTTCATTGGCCTTACAGAGTTTTACGCGGAGTCTGGGGTTTAGTGTGGCTTTTCTGGGCTTAGGCCGGTTGCCTTAAAGCCTAGTCTTACACCCAATTCCCTAAACCCCGATGGTTCAGTTCGACGCTGTTCACGGCAAGGACCTTCGCTGCAGGCCTAATTTCGTAACGTCTAAACTCCTAAACCCGAAACCCAGAAACACAAACCCTCTCAACCCTGCACCCTAACACCCTTCTCATACCCCAATACCGAAAAGCATACACCGACAACTGAGCCTCTCATATAACTTAGAGGTTCGAAAAGGTTTCTCTATCAATTGTATCACGAAACAGGGAGTACAGCAGGACTGCTACTGATCATGACTTAGACTTAAACCTCTACATGCAAGCCTTGCAGAACCCGGAGAACTCAAAGAAAGACAACCAGTTAAACAAACCATGCAAATAAGAAACAAAGCTGCAAAACAACCCAGCAAAACCCTGATAAACCTCCCTAGAAACCCTGCAGAGCCAAAACAACCCTAAACCCTAAACTCCCAAACTCCTAAACCCCAAACCCCTAAACCGCAAACCCCAAACCCCTAACCCCTAAACCCCCAAACCCCTAACCCCTAAACCCCCAAAACCCGAAACCCCTAAACCCCAAACCCCAAAACCCCTAAACCCCTAAACCCCCAAACTCCAAAACCCCTAAACCCCCTAAATCCTAAACCCCAAACCCCAAAACCCCTAAACCCCCTAAATCCTAAACCCTAAACCGCTAAACCCTCTAAATCCTAAACCTTAAACCCCAAAACCCTTAAACCCCCTAAATCCTAAACCCTAAACCGCTAAACCCCCTAAATCCTAAACCCTAAACCCCAAAACCCCTAAACCCCCTACATCCTAAACCCCTAAACCGCTAAATTCAGGCCTCCGAAGTCAGGCCGTGGATCTTCACCCGGTCCCCTTGCTCCCAGGACGCGGCCATGGCAAGGGGCGGAACGCCGGAGCTGGGCTTTGAGGGTTTAGGGTTTTAGGATTCAGGGTTTAGGGTTCAGGGTATGGGGTTCAGAGTTAGGTTTCGAGGATTTCGGGTTGAGGTGTTTAGGGATTGGGGCTTGGGGTTTAGGGTTTGGGGTTTCGGGGTTGATTGGGGTTTAAGGGCTTTTGGGTTTCGGTATTGTTGGGGTTTAGAGTGTCGGGGGTTGGGTTGTCTTGGGGTTAAGGTTTAGAGTTGTTTGGGGTTTCAGTGTTGTTGAGGGTTTAGGCTTTCGGGTTTCGGGGTTGCTTGGGCTTGGGGGTTCAGGGTCTAGGGCTTATTCACTTCTTTGATGCTACACGGACCTTCATGGTAACCCTCTGTGTAAGGGATCTATAAAGGTCTTTAATTAAAGGTTCCATACGGGTTTCATAAGGGTCTTACATGGGCTTCGTTGGTGTTAGATTGGTTTGTTACCGCAACCCGTCTGTGGGCACGCTGAGATGGGGCGAGTTGTCGGGACGCGAGCGGTGTAAGCAATGCAAGCGGCAGTGGCTTGGGGTTTGAGGCTCGGGTGTCGGGCTTGCCAGCACCCCGCATGTATCGTTTAAAAGAAGCCTTATGGTCCTTGCCAGGGTTACTACTTAAAGGATCATGGGACTTAGTAACTAGGGTTATAACTAGGGTAACTATACTTATGACCCCAACTAGGGTACTTATAACCTTACTTACTAAGTCCCATGATCCTCCAAGTAGTGGTATTGAGGCTCCAATACTACGGGGTAGTTGGGGAGATGGGGGGTGCTGGTAGGGATTTTAGGGTGGGAGGGGTATCGGCACCGATCCGACGCGCTTCACCAGTTCGCAGGCGAGCGAAGCCTCGAGCCCGAAGTCCCTCAGCCCTGCCGTGAGCTTGAAAGCCATCAGCACATAAACAGCACATACCCTAAACCCTAAACCCTAAGCCAAAAATTGGAGCCCTCCCCCCTAGAGCGAGCTCAACTCCGAACTACTAAAGGAACGCCCGCAGGGCCGCGGGCATCGTCAGAGTCAGGGAGGAGAAGTGGCTTTCCACGATTTGCCGGAACTCCTCGCAAGCTTCGCAGCTTCAGGAGATCTTCCGTTCTATATCGCAAGCTTTGGGGTTTAGGGCTTCGGGTCGCTATAGGACTTCATCGGGCTCTTATGCTATTCTGAATGAGTCCTTGCTGGGTTTTGCAAAGCTTACTGAGGATTGAACCATTAGTAATTGATCATATTTACTTGTCTTCCTTGTACTCCACTATAATATTAGAAGGTGTAGGGTTGCGGAATGTACTTTCATAAAGCCCTCAAGCCATGAAATCTTAAACCCAGAACTCTAAAACCCCCAAACCTCCTGGAATTGATGTAGACCCCGCATAAGAACTCGTTTGCAAACCCGTAAACGAACCCCAAACCCTGAACCCTTAACCCTAAACCCTCACACCCCTAAACCCTGAACCCTCAACCCTAAACCCTGAACTCTAAAGGTCCGAACTTCCCGGCTTTGGAGACTCCTCGTCCGCATTCTCGCCGTTGGCATACCTGATTTAGGATTTAGGGTTTTGGATTTAGGATTCAGGGTTTTGGGTTTAGGATTTAGGGTTTTGGATTTAGGATTTAGGGTTTAGGGTTTAGGATTTAGGGTTTTGGATTTAGGACTTAGGGTTTAGGGGTTTAGGAGTTAGGGTTTTGGATTTAGGATTCAGGGTTTAGCGTCTTGAGAATTCAGAGCGATCGGGCTTAGGGTTCAGGGCGTGGGGTTTTTCGGTTTGCCGTGGGCACTGAAGTATCTTGCGACACTGTGGTGTCGAATGCATCGTAGACGGTGACCTGCTCCTAAAACCTCATTGTTCCAAGGGTAAAAGGAGGGACCCTTAATAAGGACCCCTAGGTATATACCCTTAATATAGCGATTATGTACCCATTATATAGCCCATTATAGGGTAGGGGTCCCCATTAAGGGTCCCTCCTTTTCCCCTTTGAATTGTGGTAGGCTTGTTGGCTTCTCCTCATCCCACCCCATGCCGTCTTAGGCGGCCGAACCACCCAAACCTACTCCGAATAGGCCGAAACCCATTCAACGTGGAACGCTCTTCATAACCTCAACAAACCGAATCCCTAGACCTAAACCCGACGAAAAAACATGATAGAACCGACGAACATGTCTAAAACCCTCAACAGAACCCCTATTGCGCCAATCTAGACCCTCTAGAACCTGTCTAAGACCAATCACAAAGCTGCATAGAACCCTTAAAGCACCCCCCCCGAAAACCCTTCTGAAACCCTTAATGCCTGAAGGCATCCTTCTGAAAAGTCTAGAACCTAAACCCTAAGCCGAAACCCTGGATCCTAAATCCTAAACCGCCAAACCCTGAACCCTAAAACCCAAAACAACCGTAGACCCTAATTGGAGGGGCGGGGGACTTAGCAAGTAGGTTATAAGCAGAGTTATAGGTATCCTTGATGGAGTTACCCCAATTAGAACCCTACTTATTCACGACTTACTGAGTCCCCTGCCCCTCCAAGTAAACCCTAAACCCTCAACCCCATAGATCCCTTTTAAGGAACCCTATAGATCCCTTTAAAGAACCCCCTTCGAAAAAGCACGGCGACTCCCCACTCTGAGTCTGGAGCTCGTGATATTTCAACATTTCAAAACCTGGCTGACTTGCTGAGGATTTAGGATTTAGGGTTTTGGGTTTAGGGTTTAGGGCGTTTCCGAAAATAGGGGGGGTGGTACCGTATTTTTGGTGTCCCTTTCTTGAGGATCCTACTATTTTGGTGTCCTGATAAGAAGGATCCTACTATTTAGGGTCTCCTTATAAGAAGGATCCTACTATTTGGGTCTCCGATTTTCGGAAACCCCCCCCCATGTAATGGGCCTTGGTGGTTTTTTGGCTTCGGATTTCGGGCTTCAAATGCCGCCTGGCATGGGCTTAGGGCTGAGTGGGCTTTTGAAGTAACAACCCAGACCCCCGGGAGGATCCAAAAAGTAGATCCCTTAATGGGGGTTCCCTATAAAGCACCCTTAGTAGTATAGGGCCCCAAATTAGGGGATCTACTTTCTAGATCCTCCCTACCTTACTTCTAACCTACGCCCTGAACCCTAAACCCTAAATCTTAAAACCTAAATCCTAAACCTAAACCCGAAACCCTATAAGCCTAAACCCCACTGCGAACCCTAAACCCTAAACCCAAAAACCCTACTTGCGAAGTCCCCGGGCATTTCAACTCCTGACTGAGAAGCCCCTGATGGGATTTCATCGTCAGAGCACTTGGGGACTCCCTCCCTCAACTTTGAAACCCTTGGAAGCCTGGTGGTTGCTTTCTTCAAGGACCTACTCTTTAGGGACCCCTGTAGGTTTATAGAAGTTGTATAGGATGTGGGTCCGGAATTTTGGGCGGGTTCGGGGCAGGGTTTCGGGCGGTTTTGTTTTTGCTTCTGGCCTGTTTTGTTCGGCACTTTGCCCTGCCAGGCCCCCCAAGTGTGTGCTGCCCGGGCTCTTCCAAGCGTAAATGTGGGCCTCTAAAAAATTTTAGTTCTCTCCAAGCCACCAGAGTTGGGTGTGGTTGCATTGTGGTGTGTTTCCCTGCCGTTTGGCCCTTTCCGGACCTCCGAAACATGCGTTTTTTTATCTTTTTTGTGCCCTCCTGGGCCCCCCAAACTTGGGCTTTTGGTTTTTTCCAAGCCCTCATAATCCGGGCTGTTTGGCCCTTTCGAGACGTGTCCACCAAGTCCCCACGTTTGAGCCTTTTCGGCCCTTTCCATGCCACCCAGAATTTTGGCTGTTTGGGTTTTTTGTGCCGTCCCGGGCCTCTAAATTGGGCTTCCAATTTTGGGTGCCTGTATATTTGTTTAATCTGTTCCAAGCCCCCAGATCCCGCTCAACCTACACCTTCTTTTATCCTGAACTTGAGGGCTTAAGGTATAGGCTTAGGTGGAACCCCCAAGAACCCTAAACGGAACTCTAGACGGAACCCTTAGGAACCCTCGCGGGAACCTGTCCAGCAAGAACCCTGATAGGAACCCTAAACCCGGAACCCCCGGAGATGTTGGGCATCCAACCAAGGGCACTGAAGACGTAGAGGATGATCACAAGCAGAAGCAAGATGGGCATCTCGGGTGCATGTGGGCTTTCGGGCTGAAGCTGGGCAAATTGTGGGTTCAGGGTCCCAAGGCTCCCGATTTGGAATTGAGTCAATGATTGCTCGGAGGGGCGTTTATAAAACGTCTGGAAAAATAGTAGTAGGTAAGATCCTCTTAAGCCCGATAAGAGCAAATATAAAATGTCCCAAAACCCTACCTAGATTGAGGGTTTACAGGGATTAGGGAGAGAAGTTTAGTTTAGGGCTTCGGTCTGAGGGCTTACAGCTCCGGTAGGCGCCGAACCTTCCATTGCCAAGTATCCCGTAAGGTTGTGATTCAGGGTCTAGCGGTGGTTCTGGGGTAGGCGTGACGATTTCGAGCATAGGCCTATGAGTTTGGGATGTAGATCTTAGGGATTCCAGACTTGCGCAAGGCCAGAACTCTCAAATCTGAGCCTTACAGCCTTCAAACCCTTAAACCTTTAAACCCTAAACCCTTGAACCCTAACCCTCTAACCCAATCAGTTCCATTAAACTCACCGAGCCCCTTGAAGAAACAATTGTTCGATGATGGTTCTATGAAATCCCTGAAACCTATTTAGGTGGTTGTCAACATTATGGTCTTTTTTGGGTCCCTATTAAAATACGCCGCCTGACATTTAGGGTACCCAACTCGGGACCCCCAATTTTGACAACCACCCATCTATAGGAAACTCCAGAAAGTTGGAATATGGTTTCAGGGTAGGATACCCTATAATTTACCACAAAGGGTTCAGGATAATCATATTCCAACTTTCTGGCTTGTACCTTAGGGTTCAGGGTTTAGGTAGCGGCTTGTATGTTTCGGTCGAAGGGCTTAGGTTCGTGGGTTTCGGGTCTAGGGTCCCAGGAGTAATTATCTTATCTAGACCCAAGAGTAACCTAGGAGGAAAAAGGATGCCCTTTTTGGTTCAAAGGGGGTTTATAAGGGAACCTGAACCCTTAAAAAGGGAATAAGGGCCTACTCTAGGTCCTAGTTATTATGATAGGGTCACAAAGATCCTAGTCTCTACGGTTCTATTTCGGGAGCTCCGCGATTTGTGCGAGGATCTCCCACAAGTGAGCCGAGTTGTTCTTCAGGGGGTTCCCCGTAGATTTGAAGGTCCAAGGCTTGGGTTTAGCGTTTGGGTTTAGAAGGGTTTAGGGTTTAGGGGTCTGTCAATATAGGGGCTTCATGTATCCCAAATGCTTCTAGCCCTGACCCCTAGAACCCTCACTACTCTTTAAGGTTACCGGAACGACCATGGTATGGAAGCCTATCAAAACCCTAGTACATCTTTGTTGGCCAGGGTACACCAGCCTCTAACCTGAATGCAGATCCTTATCAACGACCCTCTTGCTTCAAGGGCCTTCAACTGACGGTTCTAATCCTGGGCTTATCCATCAAGGGCCTACATCAACTTGAAAGTATTTCTGATAGTTTTGACGCAGGACGTCGGAGCAGCCCCAGACTCTGTCGGGTCAACACTTTGTCCGGACTTCTTGTGACAGGACCCATCAGCACTTCAACGTGCCACGCCGCCGATACCTACACTACCACTTTTCAGCCGGCGTCTGCGACAAGTCTTCCATTCGGGTCGTCTGCATTTCTTCGCTGCAAGATAGATCCCAAGCCTGGCGTCTGTGAGCCAAGCTCTCGCTTTCGATGCGCCTCCCCTTCCACGGTGTCCTCATGCTACACTGCACGTCCGAATCTTGTCAAGTTCTTTCGCACCAGGCAACCCGCGAGTTTCTTCGTGAAAGTCTTGCCCACCTCGAGCACTTCCTGCAGAAGCCTAGTGAAACGGGACATAGCTCTAGAGCAGTGTGCAACCGTACGAAGAAATATAGGACCGTATAAACTCGTCTGAAACCCTCAAACCCTAAACAACCCTAATCCCAAACGCTGAGCCATATAGAGACTCCGGACATGTCTCAACCCCCTTTTCTTGGGGATCCCGACCATCGTTCCGACTGAGGACATGAGTCCACGGACCTGGGGTAGCAAGAAAGACTTCGAGCCCGTAAGCGCCCCACTTGAACGATACAAGACAAGTTATACCGGGATTTCTAATTCGTATAATATCTAATATAATATAATATGTTAGTATAAAATATAATATAATATAATATAATACAATATAATATAACATAATATAATATAATATAACAAAATATAATATAATATAATAAAATATAATATAATATAATATGATATAATATAATATAATATAATATAATTTATTATAATTTAATTTAATTTAATATAATATAATCTAATATAATATAATATGATAGTATATAATAAAAAAATAAAATAGAATAATATAATATAATATAATATAATATAATATAATATAATATAATACAATACAATATAATATAATATAATATAATCTGATCTAATATAATAAAATATAATACAATATAATATAACATAATAAAATATAATATAATATAATATAATATAATATAATATAATATATTATAATATAATATAATATAATATCATATCATATAATCTAATCTACTATAATATAATATAATATAAAAAATATAATATAATATAATATAATATAATATAATATCATATAATATAATGTAATGTAATATAATATAATATAATATAATATAATATAATATAATATAATATAATATAATATATATATAATATTCCTTACTTCAGGGCTTCGGGGATTAGGGCTTCAAGGTAATATATATATATATATATATATATATAATAGGATCGAGATACGCAGGGTCGGCCGGGGGACACCCTTTCGGACCCTGTTTGGTGGGTCCGAAAGGGTGGTTCCCAGGGTCTCCCGTAGATCTCGCCGGACCCTTTCGGACCCACCCATTCGGACCCTGCTGGTAGTCATTGAGTCTGCGTCGGGCTCGGCTTGAATTTGGGTATGGCTCAACATAGTTTTCATGATATTCAGCATGGTTTCCGCATATATTTTTCCAGCACCCACGCAGAAGTTCACAGAAGTAGCAGGCAGCGGGCCTCGGGCCAAGGCGCACACTCAAGCTTCCCAGGCCGTGGTTGTTTGCTCGGGTTCCTACCTAAGTTCGCGGGGCCTGCGCAAAAGCATCCAGAAACTCAAAATCCAGAATCCTTGGAAGAGCCCCTGAACCCATAAACCCCGAAACCCAGAAATTATTAACCCTTATGTCGCTTATGTCCCGCAGTAACCCAAAACCCCAAACGCAGAAACCCTAAACCCAGAAAGCCCTTGAACCCAGATACCCACCAAGCCCCCAAACGCAGAAGCATTGTACACAAGCGCCTGAACTCAGAAACTGAAAACCCAAAACCACTGAACAGAGGAACCGGTGAACGCAGAAACCCTACACCCAGAATCCCAGAAACCCTGAGCCCATATCCCAGAAACCCTAAACCCAGAATCCCAGAAACCCTGAGCCCATAGCCCAGAAACCCTAAACCCAGAAACCCAAAAGCTTGTGCTCCAAACCCTTGAACTCAGAAGCTAACAACCAAGAACACCTAAACCCAGAAGTTCTGAACCCCCAAATCTGCGAGTAAGCCCAGAAACCCTGCACGCAGAAACCCTAAACCCAGAAAACTCCTGAAGCCAGAAATGCAGAACCCAGAAACCGCAAACCCCGGAAGCCGCAGACATCATAACCTGAAACCCAAAATCACCGAACCGAGAACCGCTGAACCCAGAAACCGCAAACACCCAAACACAGAAACCCTGTAGAACCCAGAATCCCTAAGCCCTTAAACCAAAACCTTAAACCCCTGGACGCTGCACCGAAGCACAATAGCGGCTTGAAGCAAGTCACATGTCGTGCTCGAATCGAGTGGCCGACATGCCGACGCCACAGGGGCGACGCCGGGCGTCCAACAGGAATCCACCGAGCGGCGCCCGGCGTCACCCCGCTCCCACAGGTGTGGGCGACGCCGGGCGCCGCTCGGTGGATTCCTGTTGCGACGCCCGGCGTCGCCCCTGTGGCGTCGGCATGTCGGCCACTCGATTCGAGCACGACATGTGACTTGCTTCAAGCCGCTATTGTGCTTCGGTGCAGCGTCCAGGGGTTTAAGGTTTTGGTTTAAGGGCTTAGGGATTCTGGGTTCTACGGGGTTTCTGTGTTTGGGTGTTTGCGGTTTCTGGGTTCAGCGGTTCTCGGTTCGGTGATTTTGGGTTTCAGGTTATGATGTCTGCGGCTTCCGGGGTTTGCGGTTTCTGGGTTCTGCATTTCTGGCTTCAGGAGTTTTCTGGGTTTAGGGTTTCTGCGTGCAGGGTTTCTGGGCTTACTCGCAGATTTGGGGGTTCAGAACTTCTGGGTTTAGGTGTTCTGGGTTGTTAGCTTCTGAGTTCAAGGGTTTGGAGTACAAGGTTTTGGGTTTCTGGGTTTTGACACTCACACTCGGGCAAGCCTGGCGAGGTCTGTAGCGATTAAGGACGAACATACAGGATCAACTTCAAGCCGATTTCACTTGAAGCCAGGCTGTTCATGCCAGGGTTTCTGGGCTATGGGCTCAGGGTTTCTGGGATCTGGGTTTAAGGTTTCTGGGATATGGGCTCAGGGTTTCTGGGATTCTGGGTTTAGGGTTTCTGGGTTCAGCGGTTCCTCTGTTCAGTGGTTTTGGGTTTTCAGTTTCTGAGTTCAGGCGCTTGGGTACAATGCTTCTGCGTTTGGGGGCTTGGTGGGTATCTGGGTTCAAGGGCTTTCTGGGTTTAGGGTTTCTGCGCTTGGGGTTTTGGGTTACTGCGGGACATAAGCGACATAAGGGTTAAGAATTTCTGGGTTTAGGGGTTTGTGGGTTCAGGGGCTCTTCCAAGGATTCTGGATTTTGAGGTTTTTGGATGTCTCTGGATTTTGGTGTATAGGTTTCAGGGTTTAGGTTTTCAGGGTAAATGTTTTGTACCACTCGCCAGCACACCTATTCTCTCATATTCTATGACCCCCATACAAGGCACTCCGGGGGTCTACAAGGTATTTCAATGCCTAGTGCCCCCCCCAGTCAGCCACCCCCCAAAAGGCATTCTTTCGGTGCGGTGATACCGCAGGACTACCGCAGGCAAGTTAAATCTGGTTTTAACTGGCTTGCTTTTCTAATATCTGAGGTAGGGTCCGAATGGGTCGGGCGACCCTTTCGGACCCTGTTCCCAAGGGTACCCAGGGCCACCCTTCCGGACCCTGGATAAATCGAGGGTATTATATATATATATATATATATATAATATTCCTTACTTCAGCTGTTGTGGAGCCTCTGGCTCCGGGCTTACGAATTGCGTGTTCAGGGCTTCGGGGATTAGGGCTTCAAGGTCCAGGAATGAATCCGCGGGGTTGCGGGCTGAGGGTTGAGTCTGTGCAGGTGCGGCTGAAGCGCTGCAGGGCTTACAGCTACCACTGTCCTCGCTTTTCGTGGAGACTTCGCCGGAGGTACTGACTAGGGTTTAGGGTTTAGGAGATGGAAGAAATCTCTAAACCAGTTATCCATCAAAGGAGGTCGTGACTGCAAAAAACTCAAAATTTGCGACAATTGACACACCGACACACACAAAACCTAAAAATCCTTAATCCCAGTCCCTGTAAACCTTAAACCCGAACCCTAAACCAAACACCTCCAATAGAAAGTCGCCCCAAGGTCCGTCCTGAAACCAACAGTCGGTCTAAGTTAGCGGCACGGATCTCTCCCTCCTCGTCTTATTGCGATCGTGGAATAGGGTTCTTGGGGTTCCTTATTATAGTTACAGAGTAATATATACGTTTTGGGGGTTCCTGATTATAGTTACAGTAAGTATATACCCCCCCAAACCCTATTCTAGCTATTAAGGCCCCTACATTTACCTTCCCACGAAAGGGGACTTGTGACGATGCCATGGAGCGGGTTTTAGATGCCCCAAGCATGATGCTCAAAGAAGTACGCACACATGAGTTCTTGAATCATTCAAAGATGTCAGTGAGTACCATGTAGGGCTACTACTCTCAACAAGCAGCATATTTGAGAGATACGTGTATAAAACTGTATAAATAACCCTAAGCCCTCAACCTAAACCCTAATTCCTAAACCGTTAAATCCTCAACCCAAAACCAGGTAAAACTGTATCAATGTCGGAGCAACTCACACATTCTCCACAGCGAAGGCCCGGCTTCGAGGCTGGTTCGCAGCACTTTGAAACACTCCGCATGCACTCCGGAGGCCCCAATCCACAAGGGTGCGACTGCTGATGGACAAAATCCTGCATGACCCTAAGGACTCCAAACTTTGCGAACTATGGTATATTCCTTATAATGGGTCATGCAGGATTTTGTCCATCAACAGGATCAATGGCAGGTAGTACTCCTCCAGTGGCTTCCTTGACGAGGTTCTGCAAGCTGGTCAGCTTGGTCGCAAAGGCCTCTTTGTGGTGCTTGTTGAGGCCCCTGCACTGCTGTGGGTGGGACCACCGGGAACAGCAAGAAGTGAGCACAGCGAAATCCGGGGTATGTCCTCGTGCACACTTCCTCGCATCCGAGAAGTGACAGGACTCGGCCGTTTCGGGGTCCCTGCATCGTCTGCACATGCGACTTCTTGCGCAGACGCAGCTTGATTGGGATGGTCCCGTAGGGCCGAGAGGCCACTTTGAGGACTGCATGCTGGTCCTGTCTCCAATGACCGGGCCTGCAAGAAACTTCAACCGGTTGAGGGTGTAGGGTGTAGGTTAATCACCCTAAACCCTAAAGCCTAATCCCCCGCCCACTCCTAAGCCCATCCATGCGTGGGGGAGTGGGAGATGAGAGGTCTTCAAACCATTCACAAGAGTCCGAATCCCCACAATAGGTCGGGGTCTCGACAACATACGGTTTTGGGGTATGTTATAGTGCAAGTATAACAAGGAACCGTAAGGAAAACTAGTAGCAATGTTCACGATTCCTTATTATTAGGGTGATAGACCCTTAAACCCTTAACCCCTCAACCCTAAACGCTAAGCCTAGGGTTCAGGGATCACTGATCCCTAGACCCTGAACCTCTGATCCCGCAAACCCTGAACCCTTAACCCTGAATAACCTAATTACCTTTTAGGGGCTCCTGATCGTGATTTCCTTATATAAGCCCTCAAAAAGGGCTTGGTTTAGGGTTTAGGTTTTTTTGACGATGCTGCATGAGTCGGTAACGACGCGCTCCTGAATTCTGACATCATGGCTACAAAAATTGCCAGTAGCGTTTAGGGTTTAGGGCTAGGTTATCCCGGGCTTAGGCATACCCTACAATCCCGAACCACAAATCCCCGCACACCCCTCGCCAAGGCTGATACCAGCATCCACCTCACAGGCGCGGAAGGCAAACAGACCATTGGTTTTGGGTCTAGGCAGTGAGGCTAACCATGTTAACACAGTAGCAAGAACCGAACAAGTAGTTGAAAATATTCATAGTTGTAACGGTAAGAAAGATCTGAATAACAACTAGAAGGAGAATTCATGGCTCAGGGCTTCGGGTTCCAAGGGCTCGGATGTTCTTCAGAGCTGATAGGTCTCAGCCGGGTTGTTGGATTTGCTGAAAGGTCTTCTAGGTTTGTTGACGGCGGCTTACAACCCGGGCCTTCCCTGCAGGAAGCTGACGGTACGGTTTAGGGTTTAGGGCTTAGGGTTTAGCATTGAGTAGAACCAAAGACCCTAAGACGGACTCTGGTCCTGCTAATCGTCATCATAACCGTCATATCGTTGGTATCACCACATTCGGCATCGTCTCTGTCATCTTCATCATCCTCGTCATCCTCACCATGCTCATCATCTGTATCGTTATCGTCATCACCATCGGAAATTGGAACCATGATAGAGGGATAAATAAAGCAAACCAGCCCAAAACCCTAAACCCTAACCCACAAGCCCTCAACCCTAAGCTCTGAAGATGTTGGAGTCTAGGATGTGGGCTCGATTGTCGACTTGCTTTGAGACCAGCAGTACTCTATACTGCAAGCCGTTAGCGTAACAGTCCTTCAGGGACGTAAAATCCTAAGCCCCTAGACCCTAAGCTCAACCCTCTAAACCCTAAACCCGGAAACCCCCTAAACCCTACACCCATAAACCCTAAACCCCTAAACCACTAAACCCTAAACTCTAAACCCTAAAGCCCTAAAGCCCTAAACCCCTAAAAGCTCAGTGGAGATTCTCGGACTTTCGGATTTGGGATTTCCCTGCGTTCAACGGATACGCAAAAAAAAACGGATCGCCTAGAGGTTTTATGGGCTTCGTACATGAACCAAGTGGCTTCCATGAGTGATTTCTGGGTTTAGCGGCCGCTGCAGCTGAGAGGCAGGTTCCGGCACTTCATCAACAGCTTGACGGTCCGCGCCTGGGAGCTTTTACGGTGGAAACCCAAGGGCCTTTAAAGCACTGAGGGCTTTTTTGTGACCTCCTTTTGTCGGAGGCTGCAGCCTGCGACTGGGTTGAGGGTTTTGTCGGGGATTTAAAGGGGCCTTGCACGGCATGATACCGGGGCCTTATTCAACAGAATAGGGTTCGCTGCTGCAGATTATACTTTGCTTGATACGGGACTACAAGGGGATGCTAGTACCAGTTGTTCGAACCTCTACATCAAAAACAGACTGGGTTCAAGGTTGATGGCTTTTTGCGGACTTGAGACTTTGCTTTTGCAGTGAAGGCTTTTGCTCTATTAGCGTTGACGGTTGGAGGGTTGAGGTCGTACGGGCTCTAAAGTCCTCAACCTCGTTCCGAACCCGGACACCCGAGACCCCCGACTCTTCAGTGGGAATTTTCGGATTTAGGCTTTGGGCCCCCTGCCATAACCCATGAGCTCCCAATTTCGCACTGCGCATATTGCACTCTCGAAGTGACATTCGTGGAGAGTTTATGTATTCGTGTATGCATTTATCTATGTCATCGTTCACTTGTCCACATATTCGATTACTAACATTTTTCGTTACTTGTATTCCCACTCTTTTTAGTTACAAGGACCATGTGTATACATACGTATGTATATATATATATATATATACATATATATATATATATATATATATATATATATATATATGCACATATGTGTGTGCGTGTGTGCGTGCAGCGAGAGATATCGCCCGGGGCATTAAATCCCAATGACAAAGGAAGCCTCAGCCTCATTTTTCAGGCCTGTTCTTGGGATGTTTGGGGATTGCACCCCCTCCAACTAACATTGCATGCTGAATCTCGAAAGAAACAATACAAACTCACTCCAGACACGAAACGTCAAGTCTCACCGCCCAAACCTTCAAGTACGCACCCACCCGAAACCGCCACAGGCCGTAACTATCTTTCCCCTTATCACCTTGCAGCAAGGATGCTGCCCTGAACCGCTAAACTCACCCCAAAACCCGAAACAGCAAACTGTAAGCCCCAGACCCGAAAATGGCTCTACGAGACGCTACGCCCGAAACCCTAAACCTAAACCCTAAACCCCTAAACCCCTAAACCCTGAAACAAATCCTAAACCCTAAACCCCAGGCTCTGTCCCCGGCCAACCGCAGAAGGCGGAATGTACCTTCGGCTGTTTTCGCGGATTGGTAAGACTGACGGACAAAATCCTGCATGGCCCTAAGGACTCTGGACTATGGGAACTATGGTTTATATTCCTAAATATAATGAATGGGTAATGCAGGATTTTGCGCTCACTGAGCCCAAGAGCTGGGAGGTGAGGACTTACTTAAAAGGACCAGGGACCTAGGGAGCTTAGTAAGTAGGGTTTTGCGCGAGGTACCTGTAATCTTACCTACTTACAGCCGAGTACCGCCCCCCGAACAACCTTTAAGTAGAACCTGGTTTCGGGATGACTGGTGATGGGGCAGACTGATGCTGCAGAGAAGTAGGAGAAGTAGTTTTACACCATGCAGTTGTGACCCCAGGGTGATTACGATCTCGAAGTGCGGCTGTGATCTCGGAAAACCTTCTCGGATTCGATCGACCACTGCTTCAATCCGATGGTATGATGTAAGATCCTTGTGGGCAAAATCCGATATTGGGTGCGATCCGCATGGTTCTGACAGCGATGCTACTATAGGGAAGGCACGATTCCATCATGTTGCTGGACTCTTAGGGTGTGGTATTTAGGTTTGACGCCTCAGCTGTAATCGTACAGGGAACTGTGGTTGCACTTCCCAAACGTCCCGTAAACCCTAAGCCCTAACCCTGGGACCCTAAACCCAACTCAAACCATAAATTCCAACCTAGACTGAGGGTGGGGTACTCCCGAGTCTTCAACACTAAACCCTGCACCCCCCCCTCGCACCTCTTAGGATCTAGTATAGGTGCCTTAATAATTACCTATACTTTTTTGGGGGTTCCATAAAATAATCATACGATAATGGGCCCCAAAACCCTATTCTAATTATGAAGGCCCCTACATCAGAGTTTGTGGTTTATCGCTCTCGGTTCGGAGTTTCTGTAGCTCTAGCCTCTCAGGCTGCTGCGGAGTTCAAGGTCTTTTGGGGCTTGCGCCCCTTAACTCTCCCATGTAAGGGCCTTCATAGATAGAAAAGGGTTTGGGGGTCCATTATGCTTCAGGTACTATAATACGGCTACTATTAAGGTCCTATATAATATGTCTATACTATGAAGATTATTCAACTATTACTGAGTGGGGGCCGTACCCAAATTATACTAGAATTATTCAGGCCCCTATATTAACGCCCCTCGGGTCTTTATGGGTTTCGGTTCCTGGTTCCATGCACGTTTGCTGATCCAGCAATCGCCCCCTGGTGTCACACACGGTTGATCATGAACTGATCGTAGGGTATAAGGGTTTTAAAGGTTTAGGGCAGGGCAATATCCCTAAGAGAGAAGCTAAGGGGTTCGCGCTTTGTGGAAAGTGCCTGGTGCTCGAGAGGCCATGAGAATTCGAATACCGAACTCTGGCACGTTAGGATATACTTATATTCGGCAGAGCTAAGGAACAATAGCCGATGATAGCACGAATTATTCAGGCTCATCTGTTTGGATGCGTGTTTCACAACCTGCAAACACTCAATAGCCCCACATAGGCAGAATACACAGACATGTGAAGATAGCCCGCCAGAACTTACAAGAGCCCCCAAAAGCCGGAACAAGAAACGAGCATTTTGACATCTTGAAACTCCAAAACCTGAGATTCAACACCAAACACCCGACCTGAAACCTAAACCCTGAACTTCTCAACCCTGTGCGGATAAACGCCCTGACCCTTAAACTAAGCCCTAGCCCCTGAACCCCAAAAGCCCTCGCCTTGAGAATCCTAAATCCCTCAGCCCCTAGATGTAAGACATAGGGCCGTAGCAGTCACCTATACTATTTTGGTGGTTCCTTGTTTAGTTATAATATACTGGGCCCCTAAACCCTCTTCTAATTCTTCAGGCCCCCTATATTAGGGCACTTACCGAGCCTAATGGGCTCGACCTCAAACCCGGCCAAGTTGCGGAGAACCAGCAGAGGCGTAATTTGATCAAAGCCGAAGTAAGGCCTCTTGGATGTGCTGAACAAGGGTAGGATCCCTTTAGAGAGGTTTAGGGATGTTTGGGGTAGTTTAAAGTTTTCTTGAAGTTCCTTGAGTTTAGGGTTTGGGGGTTTGTGGCTTTGGGGGTTTGTGGCTGAAGGGTTCTAGGGTTTACAGTTTAGGGGTTGGGTTTAGGGTTAAGGTCTTTCGGATGTTTGTGCAAGATTTGGAGGTTTGGGGTTTAGGCGTTAGGGCTGAGGGCTCAGGGTTTTAGCAGTTGCGTCGTAAGGTTCATCGTTTCATGTGTTTTTTGGGTTTATGGCTTTGGGCTTCAGGTCGTAGGGGGTGCAGGAATGAGCCTGAAGTGGGTGCTTGCTTCAGACACGGGCCTGTATAACTGATAGTAGTACATAAGCCATTTCCTCCATTTAGTCATGGTACAATATATATATATATATATATATATATATATACATATATATATATATACCCCAAAGCCGCAATGTTATTTCAAACGAACCCCTAGATTGACGCATGAAAACCCTCATAGGGCGCCCGGCGTGATGAAGAAACTGCCCGCTAGCCCCGAGATGAGCAAGACGAAGTCGAACTTCACCTGCTTTTTTCTTCGGTTTTGTGGGCTTCGAACCCAATACAAGCTCCAGTTCTAGGGCTCCTTCTTTGCCCAGAGAACCCAATACCCCTTAAGGAATATACCTTAGATCATATTAGGGATCCGATTCTAATTTCAGGTATATACCTTCATTAAGGGGTATTGGGACCTCTGGGTGTGATTCTCTGATCAAGAGGTAGGTTACTTGGGGTTTAGGTAGGGTTGAAGGCTCTCGGCTCGAGGTTCCAAGGTCTAAAGTAGGGGTGCCTTCTTTTGGGTCCGTAGAGCCCGGAGGATCCATGGACGAGCCGCCTACCGTTCTTGGCGTCGCCCCATCTGCGTCGTCCCTCTTTCAATTACTAGTGGCAGTGCCGATATGTGTGCTGGGATCGTGGATGTAAAGACTGACTTCAAGGATGACAGAGAGTTTTGGGCTCCCAAGGCCATTACTTGCACAGCTTTCGTCGAAGGTTGTTGCTCAGATTTCACAGCTGACGATTGCCCAGTCTGCACAGTGGCTGGGCACTCCAGGATGAGCCGAACACTGCTTGACCAATCGGAGTTGCAGCGATGCCTTTCACCAACTCTTGGGCTGGCGACCTCCCCATACTCTTTACGATCAAGCGCAGTAACCTCAAGCGGCATCCAGTTGCAATTCACCCCACGGCCGTGAGCAGCATGTTCCACGTTGGCCGTGTGAATTACAAGTCGCTGGCACGAAGGACTCACATCTACCAGTGACCGAGCGGACGTCCTCCAGCATCTTCCTCGCATGATGGTCCCTTTTTGGGTCCCTAGTATAGTACGGCACCTAATGTTTAGGGTACGCAAAAAGGAACAACCACCCATACAAGAGTCCCTTATTCTCTGGAGCTCCCGTCTACTTCGTAGCTTACCTCATCCCCAGACGCCTGGCAATGGGAACTGAGCTTCCTAGTACGTCGGGTTCAACTTACTTCGCCAATTAAGCCACAGAAAGGAAATGTTAAACTTTCCGGTTCCTACTAAACCATAAGGACCCAAAAAGGTTAAAGGTTGGGTAGTGGGGATCTAAGTTCAGGGCACTATAATTTAGAAGGGGCCCCCACCCTGTAATAGTGGTATAATGGGAATGCAATAGGGCCTAATGCAATCCTTATAGTCACTATTACAGGGTGGGGGCAGCTTCTAAACTATAATGCTTTCGGGTTTCAACAACGTGTCTAACTTGGTTCTATGGGGTGTTATTGCTTATGGAACCGAGTGAGGAGTTTGCGGGGCTTCAGAGTCTAGCGGATCTTGCTAGGGAAGGCATGAAAACCATCAAACTACCTATGGTTATATCTAGGTATATGGGAGTTTTCGAAAATAGAAGACCCTAATATAGTACCCTACATACTAGGATCCCTATTATAAGGACACCAAAGTAAGGTACCCAGGCACCCCTCATTTTCGGAAACTCTAATATTTCCTCGGTTGAGGTCGGGTTTGGCGTTTAGGCGCTTAGGACATTCAGGGCTTGGGGAGGCTATCGGTTCACAGTTTACAGTTGAAGCACAAAAGTTGGAAACCAAATAGCCTCATTCCTTAAGAGCAATGTATAGGGAATCCCAGCACTATTTGGCCTCAATCCGGTTTCCAGTTATTTGGTGTTTACTTGAAGTTTACTCTGCTAATTCTATCGGATGCTGCGCCGAGCATCATCAGAAACTGACACAGTCTGCAAAAGTAATTGTGTGATAATGCTCCGACCCGTTTGGACACCCTGTAGAGACCCTTGTAGATCCCTTTAAACTGAACCCCAGAAAGTTGGAACATGGATTTTGGATGATTAATGCTAGGATTCCCTCTACTTTACCGTAGGGGCATGAGGACAATAATGTTCCAACTTTCTGGCTTCTACTTTGAAGCATGATAGACCCCAAACACGCAGCCGTAGCATTGAAAGTTCAACTATAGAAACCCTTACAGATCCCTTTACAGGACCCCAAAGGGGACCCTGATTTGGCGAACTGAAATCCTTATGTAGAGTCCTTTGAAGGACATAGCTTGAAAGGAAAACCCTTACAGATCCCTTTAAAGGACAACCCTTTATAGATTCCTTGAAAGGAAACCCCTTATACATCCTTTTGAAGGAAACCCCTTCTGGATACCTTTAATAGGGACCAAAAAGGCACATAAGCATAAGCATTTTATGGAGATATCCCTACCTTATTGGTCTGCATTATAAGGCGGTTTATATGGGACATCCCTATCCTAATTTTTGCTTATGTGCTTTTTGGGGGCCCTATTTTAAGGACCCTAAAGTTAACGAACTGAGCAGCCGGCCCAATCATCCTTCAAACAGCGCCAGCCGGAGACGAAGAATCGCAGCCCCATCTCCGCCTCACGGGACTGGGTTGCTATTAAGGAATTTAATGTAAGTTACCATAATAAAAGAATTTAAAGTAACCATAATAAGGGAATTTAATGTAAGTTACCATAATAAGGGAATTTAATGTAAGTTACCATAATCAGAAGAATTTAATGTAAGTTACCATAATGAGAGAATTTAATGTAAGTTACCATAATGAGCGAATTTAATGTAAGTTACCATAATAAGGGAGCTTAATGTAAGTTACCATGATCAGGAAACCGGATTATTTACGAAAGATTCCTAAAATGGGTCGTGTTAAGGAGTTTAATGTAAGTTACCAGAATAACGAAACCATATTACTTACCATAGATCCGTATAGTGGTTTGTGATAAGGAGTTTCATGTAAGTTATCACAGTAAGGAAACCATATTAAAACAAGGAGAGTTCTTTCGAGGTTTAGGGTTTACGGTTTAGGGTTTAATGTAAGCTACCATAATAAGGAAACCATAAGACCTGAAATAGATCCGTATTATGGTACTGTAAATTGAAATACGTCCCTTAACGAGAACCCAGAAGGGTCTGCGGCTGGAGGGCTTGGAGTTTAGCTAGCCAGTGGTTTTGGGGGGTTCCCTTGGCTCTTTAGCTCCTTGTTTCACAGGGATTATCATCATCCCTGGTCCCTTAGCGCCCCCAATATCAATGGCTAGTTAGGGTTTAGGGTTTTGAGGGTTTAGGATTTATGGGGTTTTAGGGTTCAGGGTGTTGGGTTTAGGGCTTATAGGGTCTAGGGTCTGAAGCATGCGGTTTAGAGTTTGGGGTTTAGGGTACAGGGTTTAGGGCTTAGGTACAGGGCTTAGGGTTTTGAGGCTTTGGGGTTGAGGGCCTCTCCAGGGTTTCCAAGTTTTGAAGTTTACGGTTTGATGTTTAAGCCGCTCATAAAGACGATGCGGGCACAGGGTTCGGATTGCAGTGTTCCGGGTCAGATGACGACGACGACGGCGGAGGCCGAGACGACGGCCACCAGAGAAAAATAATGCGGAGCAATGTCCTTCAGGCCAGCGCGAGAACTAAATGTTGTTGTCGCAGCTTGGTCGTGACAGTTTCGTGAAGTATCCCGATGCTCACACACTGGTAGCAGCAACAGCAACAGCAGCACCAACAGTAGCAGCGGCACCAGCGCAACGGCAACGCCGCGCAGCAGCAATGCAGCTCGCGTAGCGGTACTACTCCTGCTGCCGCTGCTTCTGCTGCTGCTTCTGGCGGTGGTGGTAGCAGTAGCAGTACATAGCAGTAGCAGCCCAAGCCCAGAAGCTCCCAACAAGCCTCTAGCTGTTAAGCATTTCCGAGCCCCTGGCCGTGTAGATGCCGAGGAACACGTACTCGAGCCTCGAATTCTCAAACGGTGGCTCTTAGGGTGTCAGGGTTAAGGTTTTAGGGCGCAGTCCCTGCTTCTAGCTTTTAAAGCTCCTACGTTGCACGCGAGATGCGTCACCTTACACGCTAAACCCACAAAAAGCTCGCAAGACCCTAAACCCTATTCATCAGCCCGCATCCTGAGACAGCCCATCAACGAACCCACGAAGATGCCTTGCTATGATTATGGGGGCCCCTACAGTAGAAGCCAGAAAGTTGGAATATCATTATCGTAACCCCTCTAAGGTAAATTATGGGGATCCTGCCATTAATCCATATTCCAACTTTCTGGAGTTCCCTGTATATCCTGAACCCCTATGAAACCTTTACTTGACCCTTGAAGGAACCCAATTCCCAACATTAGAATTTGTTAGGGCCCCTAAAGCCAGCCGCGGGGCATGTCGAAGACGAACGTGTCGTGCCCCTCCGCCCTTGCCAGATCGGTTTTAGGATTTGCGGGGGCTTTATGCAACGAAATTTCAAGGAATAGAAATACATACTCTTCAAGCCTCTAGGAGTCCTTACAAACGCCCCAAAATCCTGATTTAAACCGCAAATCCTTCCTTAAACAAAGTTGTCAACTCAATCCTAGAAACCTATTTCAAACAATACTGTCTGGTTCTTACCAGGGAATGGGGGAATGGGTTATGGGGACTATTGTTGGGAATTCTATAGGGACAACTATAGGGCTCCACGTCCCCCCATCTTCTACTAAGCACCCCTCACCCTTAGCCCTAAACCCTAAACTCCAAAGGCCCCAAACGCTGAACCCTGAACCCTAAACCGAATAAAATTTGAGGCCCCTCGCCAACGAGTGCCCCGGATACTTACAGGATCATGGGGCTTAGTAACTAGGGTTATAATTAGGGTAACTATACTTATAACCCCAATTAGGGGGGTACTTATAACCTTACTTACTAAGTCCCATGATCCTCCAAGTATATCCGGCCTGAAGGACTGCTCGAGCCCGATGGCCAAGGCATTGGCCTCGGGATCCCAGGCCCTTTAAAGGGTTCCTGTCATCGGCTCCTTTAAGGAGGTCCTTTAAGGGGTTCCTTTAAAGGGTTCCTTTAAAGGGTCCTTTCGAAAGTTTCCTGTAAGGGGTCTAAGGCCGTAGTAACTTTTGCCAGTAGACTACGACAAAGTACAGTTATTATTGACACGGGTATGACTCATGACTACTATCAGCATCAAGGGATCTCTCCCAGAACCGAGTAGATCCCTTACGGGCGGTTCCTGCAAAGTGCCTTTCGTTGTTTAGGGTCTCAACTTTTGGGATCTACGTTTTACACTCTCCCGGAAGTGTAGGATAAAGGGTTCTGTCAGGGTTGAACACGTTATACGACGGGTTCTATAAAACATAGGGTGGAACCAGGGGTCCTACGAGGTTCTGACGGTTCATGGGAAGTAGTATACAGGGGTGATAAGTATGGTAGCTATGGTTACTTCGACGTATAGCTCTGCTCCGTGAAAACCCTGCTCGCAAAGTCTCCTGAAACTTTACATACCTTTCAACTTAAACCCCGGTCAACCTGAAAAAAGAGTTCAACCCCTAATGGAACCAACCCTAAACCCCAAACCTTAAACCTTCTATGAGCCCCTAGGTATAATCCTTAATATAGCTATTATATACCCATTATATAGCCCATTATAGGGTAGGGGTCCCAATTAAGGGTCCCTATCAGAACACGTAAAGCAATCCTGGAAGGTGGGACTGTGAGTTTCGGGTTTGCCCGGCCCGAACCGGTTGTGGGTCCTGGCAGGGCAGGGAGGGTTTAAGGTTTAGGGTTTAGGGTTCAGCAGCTCCGGTCCGTGAAGTTTTACGGTACAATTATACTTACAGTTTTGAAATAACACCCACCCACCCCTGAATCCCATAACATTGAGAAAATAAACTTTTCAATTTTTAAGCCAACTTGGACTCACATACTCCTTTAACTATGTTGCCCCAAATCGAAAAGCCACTCCACAAATCCTCAAGTTAGCCCAGAAGCCATCCTAGAAGCCTTGACCCTAGGCCCTAAGCCTTTTAGAACAAACCCCAGGCCCTAAACCCTAAACCTTAAAGCCCAAACCCTAGGTCTGAACCCTAAAGCCCAAACCCTAAGCCTTAACCCCTAAGGCCCTACCAAACCATAGGCCCTAAACCCTAAAGCCCAAACCCTAGGCCCTAAACCCTAAAGCCCAAGCCTTACGCCCTAAACCCTAAAGCCCAAACCCTAGGCGCGGATCCCGGAGCAAAAAACCCTTAAAACCTTGTTCGTGGGCGGATCCCGGGATTTCCGCCCACGAAATAGGATTTAAGGGTTTTCGTGGGCGGATCCCGGTGCAAAAAAACCTTAAATCCTATTTCATGGGCGGATCCCGGGATCTCCGCCCACGAAATAGGATTTAAGGGTTTTTGAGGATGGATCCCGGTGCAAAAAACCCTTAAATCCTACTTCGTGGGCGGATCCCAGGATTTCCGCCCACGAAATAGGATTTAAAGGTTTTCCTGGCAAAAAAAAAACCTTAAAACCACGAAGTCATTAAGGTTTAAATTCATATGATAAAGAGGTTTAGGGTTTAGGGTTTGGGTTTAGGGTTTAGGGTTTAAGGTTTAGGGTTTAGGGTTTAGGGTTTAGGGGGGCAGGCGGCAGAGCAGGTGGCAGGGCAGGGCAGAGCAGGCCAGGGCAGGGCCAGGGATGGCCCCCCTTGAGGGGGGTTTGGGGGGTGAACCCTAAACCCTAATTGAGAATAGTTGGGGTGGTTGGGGCGGGACTGCACGCGCAATTAGTGGGCACGCCCCTTATTCCTCAAGTAAAAGGCGCACCCAAATCCCGCGCATACTCCCTAAACCCTAAAACCCTCAACCCCAGACCCACCGCCATCTGACCGGGCGGCCACGATCACCAATCCCAGGGCCAGCTCAAAAAACTGGCTCTGCAGGAGCCGGGACACCTGACAAAAAATCGTGGGTTTAGGGGTTTAGGGGTTTAGGGGTTTAGGGTTTTAGGGGGTTTAGGGTTTTAGGGTTCAGGGTGTTGGGGGGGTGTTTAGATCATGGGTTCAAGGATTGAGGGGCTTGTGGCTCGCTCAGGAGTTTAGGGTTTTTTTTTTTGAGCTCCTTTTTCCGCCTAAGGTACCAGCCGTCGACGAAAGACCAAGTTTAGGGTTTAGGGTTTTAGGGCTCAGAAGTTTAAGGGTACTAGGGCGTACGGGTTTAGGGTTCAGGCTTCTTTTTTTGGCTTTAGGGTTTAGGAGTTTAGGAGCTTAGGGTTTTGAGTTCAGTGTTTAGGGTTCAGGGGTTTATCTTTGTTGTTTGGTTTAGGGCTTTTTGGAGTTTAAGGTTTAGGGTTAAGGGTTCCTTTTTTGTGGTTTAAGGGTGTAAGAGTTTAAGGGTTTAGGAGTTTAGGGTTTAGGAGTTTAGGGTTTAGGGGTTTAGGGTTTAGGGTTTAGGGTTTTAGGAGTTTAGGGGTTTAGGGTTCAGGGTTTAGGGGAGCGTTTAAGGCTTCTGGTGCTTCGGGCGTTAGGGATTTAGGGCTTCAGGGGTTCAGGGTTTCGGGACGTAGTTTGTCCATCAGGGCCTATAGGGGGTTTTATAGTGGGTCTATAAGGCTCTGCTCAAGGTTTCATGAGAGTTCAGATTCAAATTCTTCGTGCTGCGTTCATGGTTTGGGGCAACACGGTTCCTTTAAGGGCTATTCGAGGGGTTATCGCAATTGTGTAGAGAAGGGTCTGATGCTGGGGGGCCGAATAGGGTTTTGGGGGTAGAAAATTTCCGAGCCCCAAAACCTAAACCCCAAACTTGAAACCCCAGTAGGTTTTGGGTCGGTGCTTCCGAGCATGACAAGATTCATGAACCACAGCCTAAACCCTTCACCGTTGATCTAAACCCTAACCCTAAACCCTTCTTCTTCACCGCTCTCTTGACTTACCACAGAGAGAGAGCGAGAGAGAGAGAGAGAGAGAGACAGAGACACAGACAGAAAGAGAGACAGGGAGACAGCGAGACAGAATTACAGAGAGACAGAGAGACGGAGATACAGAGAGACAGAGAGACAGAGAAACAAGGAGACAGAGAGACAGAGACACAGAGAGACAGAGAGACAGAGAGCGATGTTGGGCGAGACAGACGAAAGAAGAGACCCTAAACCCGCAACCGCAGAGGGCATTCTTTCCTTCCGCATTCGTGCCGCGCATCTTCACCGGTTTCAGCTTTGGGTTGCGGATTTCTGACTGGTCGCCAAAAGTTGGGCTTTGGGTTTCGGGTTCAGGGCTTTGGCCCCAGCATGTTACAGACTGGGGGGGGGGGGGGCCATCACCAAGGTAAAAGGGTCCCTCTCCTGTCCTTGTATTACTATACCATGACTTACTTGCAACCCTTGGCCTGAATAGCAAGGCTCTTAAAGGAGAACTCCTGGGGTTTAGGGTTTAGGGTTTAGGTGTTTAGGGTTTAGGGTATAGATCCCTTCAATGGAACAAGGTCTAATTCCAGGAAGCGCCTTGATTCGAGCGCTCGTCATGCAGACACTGTGGCTGTCGTCCAAGTACATCTGCTCCGAAATTCCCCTGGGCTTCGGGGCGCTTTGAGGGTGAGTTCGGATAAGGGCTTCAATAATAAGGGTTACGACAAGGCTTCTTTGACTCTAAGGGCTTCAAAGACTTAGGGTTTCGGATTAGGGGTTTGGGGCTGGGGTGTTTGAGTATAAGCTTAGGGGATAGGGCACAATTTAGGGTCTAGCCTGTTGCCCACCTCAAAGGCGAGCGTACACATTTCACGGACAGCGGCGACAACAGAGTGACTGGTGTCTAACTCCGGCCACCCCACGAACAGGTCCCTGAACACTGAACAATGCGACCTAACGCCCCAAAGATTGAAACTCAGACCTCAAACTCCAAGCCCCGGCCTTCAAAGCCTAATCATGATCTACCCGCTAAGGGGTGACCATAAAGGCTACGAAGCAACTCTACTGCGATTTGGGCAGTATGGTGGAAGTCAGCTCGCATCTTGGAAGTCCAAAGCTCATAGGGCAATATCCTGCTTGTCATCCTCAGCCTTCACCCTGACGTGCAGCTTCACGATGACCTGGGCGACCGTGCACCCTCGACTGGCGTCGCACTGATACAAACTTCGTCTCAAGCATCGCTGCAAGCGTTCGTGAAGCCAGCCGTTCATACTACATTCGTGTTCGTAGTCCACGGCACCCTTGTGCTGTTCCCGGTGGATCTTAATGTCGATGAACGGCAAACTCTTCGTGCACCACTGGACCGCCATTTCGACGTAAGCAGCACGAGCAGCTGTAGCACGGCACCAAAGGCAATGACCCCCAAACACTAATTCAGAAGCCCTGAACCCTAAACACTGAAAAGGTGGAGCTTTCTCGACACCCATACCACAATGCCAACAGTCTGAAGCTAGTGACAAACCCTCCGGATGAAGGGTTGTTAAAATTGTCGAATTACATGATCTCATACCAATTTCAACATTCGACCTTTGCCATCATGGCTCTGACCGACACACGAATCTTGTTCACAGTGACTCCGCATACCCTCCAGAGAGCAGCTTTCGACACTTGCACGGAGGAAAAGCACAGGCCGTGTGACTCGAAATTCCTGACTTGGCAATCTTTGCCACAACACCTAGTTACCTGGTTCGCAGTTACAACGAGTTACGAGATACCAGGTGGCTGGACACTCACCGTTACGAGACAGCCAAGAGGCTACTGCCAACCTTCCAAATGCGTCCTCTTTGAGGAGCTACTCGTACCAGACTTTAAAAGCGCAATGTGCACTTAGTGCACTTCTAAACTTCTTGACTAGCACGCCAAAGGCACTTCCTCAACCAACCAGTTCTGCAAGATCCTATTCGGAGAACACGGGACCTGGGGCAAACCTCTCAAATAGCCAGACCCCAAAAAACGCACACATCATGCCCAATATAATCTCGTAAGCCGTATAAGAACCCAGACCTCTTTTAAGGAACTTTAAGGGCCCTCTTACAGAAGTAATTCGGAGTCCTCCATGGCTACCTCATCCTCGCCTAAACCCTAAACTGGGCCTAAAACTTACCTTTGGTTAGTAGGGAATGGAGGAATGGGGTACAATTATAACTACTACTACTACTACTACTACTACTACTACTACTGCTACTACTACTACTACTACTACTACTACCATTCTTCCATTCCCTACTAACCAACAGTAAGAAAATGCAGCACCCTCGACTCCCAGTTAAGAGTCCCAGAGAGCCCAATACCGCTTAACTAAGGAATAGAGCTTAAATTATAAGGGGGGCGCATAATATGATTTGAGCTATATTCCTTAAGTAAGGGTATTATTGGGCTCGCTGGGTCTTAACCCTAAGCAGTAAGCTTCAAGACCCTGAACCCTAAACCCTAAGCCCTACACCCCAAACCCCACACCCGAAACCCTAAACCCCCCAAACCCCCAAGCCTAGGGCCCCGACCCCATCGGACGCTGGAAGGCCCAGCGTTTGCCTGCCTGGGGTCCATGGGCTCTTCAGGGTTTAGTTGTGGGATTTAAACTAGGATACCCAGTAACCTAAGAATAAAAAGGCCTCTCTTTTTGGTATTGGGTAACTTTAAAAGGAACCTAAGACTACAAAAAGGGAAGAAGGGCACTACTGAGCATCCTAGTAAATAAGTTAAATAAGTGTTAGGGGGTTAAGGGTTTAGTTGTGGGATTTAATTGAGTGTTAGGGGGTTCAGGGTTTAGTTGTGGGATTTAAAATAAGTTAAATAAGTGTTAGGGGGTTCAGGGTCTAGTTGTGGGATTTAATGAAGTGTTAGGGGGTCTGGTTACATGCTTCGGGGTCTGGGATGTGGGGACCCATCATACAACCCCGACCTTCCAAACCCTATAAATTCAACCCTAAACCTAGCCAAGGCTCAATTTCCAAGACCAAACGTTCAACCCAAACCCCCAAAAACTAGCCATAGCAGCTATCTTCAACCCCTAATGCGAACACACTGAAACCCTACCAAAAGCCACAGTGATCCTTCAACCCTCAACACCAAAACCCTGAAACCCTTCAACGTCATCAGAGCGATCCTTCATCCCTGGAGCCTGAGGCCCTGAAATCCCGACACCCCAGAACCCACATACGACCCTCCAGTACCCTTGTAGAAACCCTTGTTGACACCTTCTAGGAGCCCTTAAAGGAAAAAGACAAAACCTGTTCACAGCTGAGCTCCTCGTGGTGGAAGTCATTGACTTGCTTTGCTTCGTAGAGCCACTCCTCCTGGGGATCAATCGAGGATTCGGGGTCTAGGACTTAGGATTTAGAGATGGGCATTGGGCTTGGGTACGATAAAGCCTGAGGGCAAAAACTTGGATTTGAATCTTTGATACATGCCAATCGTATGAGAGCTTAGGGTTTGAGGGAGCTGAAGCAGCAGCACCATCAACCAACAGCAGCGCATGTGTGTGTATGTACATATAAATGTGTATGCATATGTGCATTTATGTTTTTCTGCACGAGCAGTGATTTCTGCATCTATATATATATATATATATATGTGTGTGTGTATATATATATATATATATATATTTAGTATTTATATTTACATACATACACATATGCGTGAGTGTGCGTGTGAAATGAGTAGATGAACAAATAGAAGATCCACATTACATATATGTAAAAATGTGTGTATATAGATATATATATATATATATGTGTGTGTGCATGTGTAAGTATGAACATAAACAAAAACATGCATATAAATAGAAATCTGAGTATGGCTCGATCTATATGTGTATATATATATATGTGTGTATGTATGTATGTATGTATGTATGTATGTATGTATGTATGTATGTATGTATTAATGTCGGTGTAAATGTGACTACTTGAACAGCTAAGTAAGTAAATACGATACAACTATAGATACGGATACAGACAGCTGTTACAGGTATCAACATAGTTGTAGATGCTGAAACAGATAGACATATGGACGTAGATACACATGTAATGCAGATGCGGAAAGAGATACAGATATATGTACATGTTGTTACAGGTATACGTACAGATGCAGATGTAGATTAGATATAAATTCAGATATAGGTTGAGAAACGGATATGACACGGATATAGATTTACAGACAGATGCAGAAACAGGCACCAATACAGATACGGAAGCAGAAGATATGGACAGAGAGAGATGGAGACGTGTCACATGACTGCAGCCCCATAGCTTGGTATTCACACAACTTGCCGGATGGGACTAAACTTTAAATACTGTGAACCCGAAACCATATAAGCTTTCAGATTCAAAATCTGTTGTAAGCCGATCTTGCGGAAACCTGCCAGAAGACTGACGAAAAAACGACAGTTGGGTGCATAGCATCGTGCAATGCTCAGCTCAGTGAATCCTGGATGTGAGGAACGGTCGGTGATTATCGGGTATTTCGGCTTCTAGCTGCAGTGGGGTCTACTCTTTGTGGTAGCTTTAGGGGTTGGAATGATTAGCACTGGTACTTGCGACCTCCCTATGTAGTCATAGTATGCTACAGTATACCCCGAAGCTCGGTATTCTGTTGCTACCTAAGACCCCCGATGGCAAGATTACTTCGCCTGTAAACCCTAAACCCTAAACGCTTTGAACATTCCGGGTTCAGGGTTTTCAGGGCCACTTCGCCTGTGTTTCCTCCCATCTTTTCTTCTCCTCTTCGACCTGCCAAGTCTTCTTCGGGGTTGCAGTTTTGGCGTCCCTTTGGAGTTTTAGGGTCTAGGGTCATCACCCAGGGTTGTAGCTCTAGGGACCTTATAAAAGTATTTATGACCAGGTACCTCTACAGGAACCGTTAAGGCTTCTGAGTTGTAAAGTTTTTCTGAACTGGTACCTCAAAAGGAACCAGAAGGGAAAATGCAAAACTTCTCAAACTGCTACCTAGCCTTTGCTTTCTTCGGGTCGAGGCTCTGGCGGTTAACAGTCCGGGGCTTCGGCTTGGGGATTTCGGCTAGACGTTTAAGGTTTAGAGTATACTGCAGGGTTGAAGTCTCAGGGCCTAGGGTTTAGAGTTTTTTTTGAGGCACGCTAGGCTCTCTCAGCCCGTATTGGGCAGGCAGGGTTTCGAGTTTAGGGTTCAGAGTTTACTGTAGAATCGAGGGCTTAAGGTCTAGGGTTTAGGGTCCAAGGTTTAGAGTATACCTGTACCCAAAAGGGCCTACCTTTTTAGGTTTCATTATCATGGTTTCTATATATAGTTCCTTAAAAAGGTAGGTCTTTTCGGCTACAGGTAGGGTTTGAAGGTGTGGCAGAGAGGTCTCGAGCCGATATGGTTTCCCTCGGATCAACGGTTGAAACCATGGGCCCCTAGTATGGGCCCTTAACCCTGAGATGCGTAAATACCTACTGTATACCCCAAATAGACTCTTCAAGGGTCCCTAGAGCTCCCTCAGAAAGGCCTAAGGGTTCATATTAGGGGCCCATACTTCTAACCTTAGGTCGGAATAGGGTTCAGGGCCTGATCCCTAAGAGTCGGGTTCGGTTTGAGGCCGTACCTGCGCGAGGTCACCAGGCAAAGATCAGGCTTTGACCATAACCTCTAGGATACATGATTGGGCATGCCACTACCTATATATATGTACATACAGATATGTATGTATATGTATATATACATACAGATATGTATGTAGATAGAAAGATAGATGATCAGATAGACAGATCGAACGATAGAGATGTGCAAATGCTTAAATTTAACTGTCGACAAGTTCTTTTACGTGCGTGAGTGAATGATAGGATATATGCATAAACGACGCATTTGCAGACATACACGTGTGCATGTGCATGCGCATGACACATGCGTATATTCGAGTATGTACACATGTAAAAATATTTGTGTGCATAAAGGTGGTTATATACAACACAGATGTAAAAGACAGATACATAATGGATAGACGGATGGACAGATACACATGTAAAAAGACAGAAAGATGAATAGGTAGTACAGTTAGGCAAAAACAGACGCATGGATAGAGAGATAGATAGATAAATAGATAGACGACTAGACAGATAGATAGATAGATAGATAAACAGATAGATAAACAGACAGCTAAACAGATAGATACGTAGACAGATCAATAGATAGGTATCTACTTGGCTAGATGGATAGAAAGATAGATAGATAGATAGACCTGTATGTAGATGATAGAAAGCTAGGTAGGTAGACAGATGCACAGATAGGTATAAGAAGTTCGGGAGATGCAGAGAAAGATAGATAGTTAGACAGACAGACAGAAAGGTAGTGTTAGATAGGTAGATAGATAGACAGATGGACAGGCAGACAGACGGACAGATAGATCTGAAATATTGATAGGCTGATAGTTTGATAGTTTGGTAGATTCATAGATGGATGGATGGATGGATGCTATGTACATACTTACATACATACATATACATGTATACATAAATGACCGTCAAAATCAAGTTTGAACTTGCAAAGCACAAATATGTATTGACCAACCACGACCTTAGCCGCCCTAATCATCCTACCCGCCCGATAGCCTGAGCCCACATAACCCGAAATGAAACTCCGTAACTGAAACTGGTCGAGCCTCGAGCTCCTGTTAGGGCCTCTAGTGGGCTAAGCTTCTACATGAAGAGGTGCCCAGAAAGGACACGAAATGACACGAACCCCTCCACCAGTGATACTGATCCAATTATTGCTCCACATTTTATAAATAGACAACGAAGATCTCACACGAAGTACCATAAACTGCTTCCGCTTCGGTGGCGTATGTCTGCGTTTTCGATCTTACAGATCGAAGTAGATCTTCCGTACAGGAAGGATCGAAGTTTCTTCCGCTGGGAGGACCGACTGGTTCCCAGGCGGTTCTCGCAGACAGGAAGCAGAGGAAAATCGAAGATTAAAAGAGGGTCGGGATGGGAGGGTGAAAACAATTTCTCAATCTTTCGAAGCTTATGCCAAAATGGCCACGGAGTATGCATAAGTTCGAAGGAATCGGTGAGTAATCACCAGACCGATTCGGTGTTAAGGTGAGATATGAAGTTGTCACTTCGCACAAACAAGTGTGTGCTACACTACAAACTCCAGACTCCCTACACCCCGATCCTAAATGCTAAGGCCCCAAAACTGCATCCGCAAGCGAGGCGGGCAAAGCCATCTGCCGAATGACTCCGGACTTGGACCTCACCTCGGTCTCTTGGAAGATTCTGGGTTTAGGTTTGAGGGCTTAGGGTTGAGGGTTTAGGGTTAGGGTTGAGGGGTTTAGGGTTGAGGGTTTAGGGTTTAGGGTTGGGGTTTAGGGTTGAGGGTTGAGGGTTGAGGGTTTAGGGTTGAGGGTTTAGGGTTGTGGGGCTTGGGGTTACGGTTTAATGTGTTGACCACACCTGGGTCCCTTGGAGGCTGGCGGGACGTCGCGAGCAGAGCCATCCATCCTGGGTTAAACCCATCGCCGTAGCCATCCTGCACTAGAGTATACTGTAATATACTAAAACATACTATAATCTACTGCAATACACGTAACATACTTCAATGTACTATAAATGTTGGGGGCTGCTCATGTCTGGCAACTTCTTCAAGAAGTGTGCGCCTGCGGGCATCCGAACCCTGACGTTGATTGGCGCTACTGTACTATCCCATAATACAAAACAAATTACTACAACAATATACTTTGATAGACCATAACCATACTACAATAGACTATACCATACAATACGATACTATCTGAGACTATACTAGAGTGTACTAGACTATGCCATGAATGTACAAGTTCATGCATACTTACATACATACACTGCAATTACAAACATGTACTATACTGTACTATCAATCCTGCTGAAAGGTAGCAGACTTCCCCGCCCCGGCATACTGCTTTGAAAAAAGCGGCAGCGAACCGCTCCTCCTTGACGCGTGATCAAGGCGTCCTCTTCATGAATCTCCGCGATCACGACATCCAAGGGCTTTTAGGGCTTTGGGGCTTTAGGGCTTTAGGGTTGCGGCTGTAGAGTTTAGGGGTTAGGGTTTAGGGTTTAGGGTTTCGGTTGGGTGCTGGCTGTCGAGGGCGAGCCACACCTGTTTGGGTCTTGGTTGAATCACCACCCCCCCGCCCCCCAGCACCTCAAACAGGGAATACGATCGGGATCCTTAAATTGAGGCGTAAATACACAGGGTTCATTCTGCATTATCAAAGTCCTTTTCAAGCCTCTTGTGCCGCAAACGCCATCTTCCAACGCTCGAAACTCTAAACTCCCTAACCCCCTCATTAACACCTAAACCCCAACTCTTAAACACCCTAAACCCTCCAAACCTTCAGCCCCAAAAACCCCGTAACACCCGCTAAACCCAAACTGCAACCCTAAACCCTAAACCACCAAAGCCGTAAACCCCCTAAACCCCCAAACCTGAAACCGTAAACCCTGAAGCCTAAACCACCAAAGACCGCATGAAACCCCAAGGCCCCGACGAAGAGCTCCAACTTACCATTCGGCCCCTGGTCGCTCAGCGCATGGCGCATGTGCCTTGAAAACTTTGGGGTTTAGGGTATACGGCTAAGGGTTTAGGGTTTTGGGGTCTTGGGTTTCGTGGTTCTGGGTTTTGGGCTAGCGGGCTCATATTTAGGTTTAGGTGTTAATTTTGAGGATTTAGATCTCTCTGTCACTCACACACTCCCTCTCTCTCTCTCTCTCTCTCTCTCTGTGAAGTACACTGCTTTTACAATGTATTGCATTGTATTGCATGGCTTTACAGTATAGAACTGCATGTGTACATAGGTATATGCACATGCCTGGACCTAGGCAAACAGATAGATGGAAGCCAGACAAACAGACAGACAGACAGACAGATAGACAGATAGACACATAGATATGGAATCTGAGAATCATTCAATAAGCGTGCACACGCATAGAAAACCTTACCCAAACCACCCATCATGCGTAGGTCTCAAACCAGTTTAGTATTGCGGGTTAGGGTTTCGGGTTTGATTAGGAGGGAGATTTAGGGGTTTAGAGTGCTTGGTTCTAGCGCTCTCGGGCAGAAACTTAAGGTTGTAGAGTTTCGAATGTCCTCAAGCACGTATATGGTTTGCAAGGGTTGTAGCAGGGAACTCTAGGGGCAGGGGGCAAGGTCCGGGGCTTTCGTGCGAAAGGCTGAGTCTTACAGCCCCATGTCTCTAGGATTGATTGCAGCCTAAACTCTAAACCCTAGACCCAAAAATCCTAAACCCTAAACTCTAAACCCTGAACCCTAAATCCTAAACCCTGAACCCTAAATCCTAAACCCCGAAACCCTAAACCCCGCATCCGAATCTCCAAATCAGAGTCCCTGAAAGGCGCAGAAGGTGCCACACGAATGAAGCCCAAAGCGCTGATTACATGCAAAACCCTACAACAGGAACTAGGGTTTGGGGTTTAGGGTCTGGGGCTTAGCGTTTATGGTTTAGGGTTGAGGGAAGCCCGCAAAAGGTAAACAGCTAACAGCTGAAAGCTCTCAATGTAATGACTCCTTTACCCCAAACAGAAACCTAAAGACTCTAAACCCTAAACCCTAAACCCTAAACCCCCTGAACCCTGAGGTCCCTGAACCGTTAAACCCTAAACCCCACAAAACTGCTGGGCCATAAACATAAACCCTCAAGAGTCTGTTAGAAACCAAAGCCCAAAGGACCCTAGTCTACGCAACTTAAAGAAACCTAACATAGGGCCTCAATACTCAGAATCAGGCTTTGAACTTTTCTAGTATATATGCAATAATTACGAATAAGATTGGTCATTGTTCCGGCGTCCATGCTTCAAACATCAGGGGGCATAGTAAGATGTCTACTTTTAACCCCGACCAAAGTACCTATATCCCCACTTACAAAACCCCTGGAACCCCTTTAATCCAATTCTTCAAGCCCCTTTTTGAAACCCCAAAAGCAGAAATACTCTAGACCCTAAACCCCCAAAAACCACAAGCTTAAAGGAATCCCAATGTAAGGGCCTTAATAATTAGAATAGGGTTTTGGGGCCCATCATTCTCTAATTACAATAAAGGAACCCCCAAAATAGTATTGGTAGTTATTTAAGCCCCTATAGTAACCTCAAACAGAAATACCCTAGACCCTAAGAATTCCCCCCAAAACCACAAGCTTAAACCCTAAACCCCAGAATCTCCTATAACCTATACTGAACTTAGAACCCCAGCAAAAATCATAATTTTAGCTGTTTCTTAAGGATTATAATAACCAAAAATGAAAACTTATTTCTAAGTACCCCTGAGCTAGCTACTTTCGGTAAGCTGTAAACCCTAAACCCTAAACCCTAGAATCCCCTATAACCTTAAACCCTAAACCCTAAACCCTAAACCCCAATCCCCTATAAACCCTAAACCCTAATCCCCTATAACCCTAAACCCTAAACCCTAAGCCTTAATCCCCTATAACCCTAAACCCTAAACCCTAAGCCCTAAACCCTAAACCCTAGAATCCCTAAACACCTTAAGCACTGGTACCAATACTATTTTGGGGGTTCCTTATTATAATTAGAGAGTTATGGGACACAAAACCCCATTCTTAAAGCCTAGGCCTAACCTTAAATCCTAAACCCTAGAATCCCTAAACACCTTATAAACTCCAAACCCTAAACCCTAAACCCTAGAATCCCTAAACACCTTATAAACTCCAAACCCTAAACCCTAAACCCTAGAATCCCTAAATACCTTATAAACTCCAAACCCTAAACCCTAAACCCTAGAATCCCTATAACCTTAATTTAAACACTGGTGGGGACCCGGCTCGCCGCTCTCTTCTTCGTCTTCCTCCGCTGTGGCGTCATCAGGGCTCCACTGGTGGTTGCCATTCACCTTGGCTGACTTCTGAATCCTAAACCCTAAACCCTAAATCCTAAATCCTAAATCCTAAACCCTAAATCCTAAACCCTAAACCCTAAACCCTAAACCCTAAACCCTAACCCTCCTAAATCTTAAGCTTTTACCTTGTCAGCGCTTTTGGAGGACTTTATAGGAATCTTTATACAAACCTTATAGCACACCTTAACTGTAGAACTTATGGAGCTGACTTCTGAACTCCTCCTAAAAGTTAAACTTTTAGCCTCCTTCTTATAGTTCACCAAAAAGCTAAAGTCTAAAGAGCCAACCAGAGGAACGCCAAGTGACAGTCATGTAGAAGTCCGACACCTCGGGGCGTTCGGAGTCCGAACTTTGGACTCTTCGGGTTTAGGGTTTACAGCTTAGGGGTTACGGGGGGGTTTCGGGTTCTTCTTTTTTTAAGTGTGACGGGTTTAGGGTTTAGGAGTTTAAGGGTTAAGGCTTAGGGTATAAAATTTCGGGGTTTAGGGTTTACGGGTTTAGGGTCAGGTTTTCGGGTTTATGGTATAGGGCTTTGGTGATAGGGTTCGGGTTTGAGGGGATCTAACATGAGGGCTCTAGAAGGGTTCTTTTCGGGCCCGACAACGGTTCTACAAGAATTTTGTATGGGTCCTGGGTTTCGGGACAGGGTTTGAGGATTTGGGGTTTAGGGTTTGGGAATGGTTTATATAGGGGCCTTAGCAATTAGAATAGGGTTTTGGTGCCCATTAAACTACAATTATAATAAGGAGCCCCCAAAATAGTATTGGTAATTGTTTACCCTTACCTTCGGTTAGTAGGGAATGGCATGGAGGAATGGGGTGCACTTGTGACTACTATTACTACCATTCTTGCATTCCCTACTAACCTTGAAGGTAAGAACCCTGAAACCGCAACCCTAAACCCTAAAGGTTGTGGCTGAGCACTCGGGCCAGAACTGTTCAGGTTTCAGTTTCAGGACTAGTGGCGAAGAGCTTCGGAGCAGGAGCATCAGGGTTCCGAGATGCACTGCGATTCGCGGCAGTGCAGGGTTCAGGATTCAGGGTTTAGGGTGCGCAAGCAAAAGACGGAGGATGCAAGCAACAAAAATCAATCGAGGTCATACATGCCGTGCTCCGCCACCGACGAAGCTTGCGAACAAAGTACCCTGCAGAACGTCTTTTGGTGTACGTTGTACATGTCATGGGGCCTTTGTAGTAACCCTTTAGCACCCTCTTCGAACGAAGCAGCATAGTTAGTTGTGGAGGGACGATGAGAGGATGCTTTTCTGATTGCTCAGATCCTACACCCTCAAAAACTTAGGCTATCTCAACAGACTCTTCAAGAACCTATTTCTGGAACACTTTCATTACTCAGGGGCTCCAGGCATTGCTTGTCAAGGTCGAATTCCTCCGAGGACGCCCGCTACGCGGCGAACTGGGCAAAGGGCTAAAGGCTTGGAGTTTAGGTTTCCTAGAGACTCCAATATCCCTTAATTAAGGAATATACCTTAAATTATAGCAGGATCCCTTATATGATTTAAGGTATATTCCTTAATTCAGGGATATTGGAGTCTCTGGGTTTAGGGGTCCCTTGAACTCTACACCCTGAAGCCGGAGGCTTCAATACGGCTTACAGAGGGGTTTAAACTTTTGAACTTAGGTTTTAAGTTCTGCATTGAATATCCAGTATTTCGGGTCTGCTGCGGTTATGGCCTTTGGGTTCAAAGGCTAAGCTTGTTTTTCCACAAGTTAGACTCAGGCTAAGAGTCTGAACGCCTGACCGAAGCCTCAAAACCAAGCAGCTCTTTCCTGTTGCTCTGGGATTCTGCCGGGTCCCTTGCGCAGGTTTCCAGTGATACATACGGCGTGAATTCAGTTTGTTGCTTTCTGTCCCTAGAACCCTAAGCCCTGAACCCTCAACCGCTTCAAGGTGTCAGTCTTTGTGAGTTTTGGATTACGGGCTCGGGCCCAGGGAATCCCAGATCGTCAAGGTTCGTACGAATCCGTGTGTGGGTAATGAAGAACTTTGCAGTTTAGGGCTGAGGGTCATGATTCCTTCGGAGTTCAAAACTGTCAAGCATACAAGACAGGGGCCTTTGATATTTGGAAGGGGGGTTTCGCCGTTAACTTCGTAGTATAGCAATTATGTAGGACTGGGGGAAGTGATTTAAAAAAAATATATTCAGAGTCCGATATTACCGATATCATAAGGGGTGTAGATTTGGATCGTCGAGGGCAAGGTTCATCTTCATCACCGAACACCGGCCAACACCCAGCAAGGACCTCACACCCTCGGCACTTCACCCACACAAGCCTGCATCCTAGACCCGTAACTCTTACAAGCTAGGCCCTAGAACCCTAAAGCTTCACTAAGCCAAACGCCGCCAGCCACAGGGGAAGAGTGGGCCTCACTGGAAGCCGGCGGCGATCTAGGCCATGAACATGTAGCGCTCGACACAGCAACCCTAAAGCCCTCAAGCTACACCAAGTGGAAGCCATCAAGGTGCCGGGGCTCACGTCCATCGCATGCACTTTTGGCCTTTTACCCTCAAAACTGTTGCCCTTGCATTGGCAAGCTTTGCACCCTTGGGTGCGGAACGCGCATCCAGGAATCCAGGGTGTGCGCTTTGGGCTTCCTGGACACATGGGTGGCTTTCAAAATTATGATCCCTTTTGGGGTTCCTACGAGAATATACGGCACCTAATATCTAGGGTACCCAAAAAGGGACCATAATTTTGACAACCACCCACATCCAGCCTGAAGGGCTCCAAGCTGTCAGGCTCAGACCATAACAGGCAATGCTGGTTGCCTGTCCTCAGGCACGGAAAAGAGGGGTGCAGGTTACACCTCCTGGCGGCTTGCTTCACAAGCCGGCTTGGAGCTTGGCGTCGAAGGATCCTGAACCCTAAACCCTAGACCCTAAACCCTGAACCCTAAACCCTAGACCCTAAACCCTGAACCCCAAACGCCCTAGCCCCCAGACCCTAAACCCTAAACCCTATCTTGAGAGACTGCTCGTCAGATAACTCCGCGAGAGCTTCGAGTTGGGCGCATGTGTGCCGGTCGATCCCAAAGAGCCCAATACCCCTTAATTAAGGAATATAGCTTAAATCATATTTAAGGAATATAGCTTAAATCATATTCTGCGCCCCCCTTATAATTTAAGTTATATTCCTTAATTAAGGGGTATTGGGCTCTCTGGGATCCTCCCTGGCAGTTGGGGCCTCTAGCGCCCCTTCCACTTGGAGATCGGGGTTTAGAGGTTTAGGGGTTTAGGGTTTAGGGTATGGGGGTTTAGGGGTTTAGGGGCTTAGGGGTATAGGGGTTTAGGGGTTTAGGGTTTAGGGTTTAGGGGGGTTTAGGGTTTAGGGGTTCAGGGGTTCGGTGGTTTTGGGGTTTAGGGGGGCTTTTTAGGGTTTAGGGAGGCAGTTGTGTGAACTTATAAACCCCAAACTGCAAATCCTCTAGCCCGCAAGCCCCGAGCCCTAAACTCTACATCCGAGGCGCTGGACGGCTCGTCCGAACCTTGCTAGGATACCCAGTAACCTAAGAATAAAAAGGCCTCTCTTCTTGGTATTGGGTAACTTTATAAGGAACCTAGGACTACAAAAAGGTACTAAGGGTACTACTGGGCATCCTAGCTTGTCTTTCTGAGCCTTCCAAACCCCAAGCTCCAAACCCTGAGCCCTTCATCAGCTTTGATCATAAGACCTCGAAACCCTTTTTCTAAAGCTCCTTTAAACCCACCCCGCTCTTCACCACCGAAACCCGAAACACCCGTCAATCGCGAACCCTCAAACCCGAAACCCCTAAACCCTAAACCCTAAACCGCCATACCCTAAACCCTCGAACCCCAAAGTATAGGGGCCCCAAAACCCTAAACCCTGAACCCTCAAACCCTGAACCCTAAACCCCTGAGCCCTAAACCCGAAACCATGAACCCGCAAACCCTGAACCCCAAACCCCTGAGCCCTAAACCCGAAACCATGAACCCTCAAACCCTGAACCCGGAACCGCTAAACCCTCAAAATAACCTTCAAAACTCTAAGCTAAACCCTCAAAAAAACCTTCAAAACTCGAAGCTAAACCCTCAAAAAAACTTTCAAAACTCGAAGCTAAACCCTCAAAAAAACCTTCAAAACTCTAAGCTAAACCCTTAAAAAAACCTTCAAAACTCTGAGGGCCCAACTCAAAGCTTCGTCTGAGAGCCGGGTCCGAAACCTCTCTCGGAGGCCGGTGCCCGGGGGCTTTCGGCGGCTTAGGGTTTGGGGTTTAGGGTTTCGGGTTCAAGCTTTAGGGTTGAGGGTTTAGGGTTTCGGGTTTAAGGTTTCGGGTTCAAGCTTTAGGGTTGAGGGTTGAGGGTTTAGGGTTTCGGGTTTAGGGTTTAGGGTTCAAGCTTTAGGGTTGAGGGTTGAGGGTTTAGGGTTTCGGGTTTAGGGTTTAGGGCTTCGGGCTTTTAGGGCTCATATGGTTTAGAGGCTTAAGCGAGGGCTTAGATGGTTTAGGGTCGAGGGTTTATTTAGGGTTTAGGTGTTCATTAGGGTTTAGGTTTAGGTTTCGTCAGAAAATTTTTTCTGGGTTTTAGGAAAGATTTAGTTTTCCAATGATTTCATAGTCTTGCTTGTCAGGGTTGGACAAAGTCTCAATGAGTTCTGTAGCAAAAATTCATCAGGGGTGCCCAGCGGCTACAAGCATATTCGTGTCTTCTACTTTTCTCAAAGGTACGGGAATTTGTGTCTTGCTTTGGGGACTTGCTGCTTGCAAGTTGCACGTGTCTGGAATGGCTTTCTTGCGTCGCACTTCTTATTGACCGTCGCAAACCATGTGCTCGTAGAGCTCCCTCATTTTCTGAAATGCCTACACGGAGTAAAACGATCACAGGTATTCCGTAGAAGGGGCCCCCACCCTGTAATAGTGGTACAAAAGGAATATAATTAATAGGGCCCGAATATAATCCGTATAGTCACTACTACAGGGTGGGGACAGCTTCTAAGGTATTCCAAAGGAGCCCTGAAACAATTCACCAAAACCCGAATAATACAAACCTGCAACATCACATGCCCCCTCGAACCCCTGAACCCCAAATCTCTAAACACTGAACCTCCTGTAAACCTGCACACTCTGGATCTCGTCTTAAAAACCCCGAGACCCCGAACCGAACCCGCCCAATCCCCGAAGCGCAAAAAATTTTGTACAGAAATTCCTGAACCCTGAACCCCTAAACCTTGAACTCCCAACTACAATGTACTCTGGGGACTTTAAGGGATACCATTATGCACCAAATATTCAAACAACCAGCCCCAAACCCTAAACCCCAAACCCCTAACCCCTAAACCCCAAAAACCCTAAACCCTAACCCCCCAAAACCCCAAACCCCCAAACCCCTAAACCCCTAAACCCTAAACCCCCAAAACCCTAAACCCTTCTCTCCTAAGTCCCAAAACTCCGGAGACGCCAACCCCGAGAGCCCAAGGGCCCCGCCGAGCGGGTGATTTGAGGGCGCGGGCTGGCATCGTCCTCCCAAACACTCGAAGACCCAGTTAAGTAGCTTTAGGGTTTAGGGGTTAAGAGGTTTGGGGGTTCCCGTAGATCATAATAGGGACCCTACTGCGATTTCTCAGGTCCAGTCCTTATTTCAAGGGTTTTGGAGTCACTTGGCTAGCCATTGGGGGTCTGAGGTTCCTCTACTTGGGGGGTCGGGAACTATAAGGGGTTCCTTAAGGGCCCCCTTAAAGGGATCTATAGGGATTCTGTAAGGGTATAGGGTTTAGGGTTTAGGGGGACTTAGTAACTGGTTATTTTAGGGACTTATAAGTACCATAACCCCAATTAGGGTCCCTTTTAGGGTACTTATAAGTCTACTTACTACCTACTTACTAAGTCCCCCAACCCTCCAAGTAAGGGTTCCTTTAGGTTGTTTCCCAAGGGGCACTACAAGGGCTCCTTTCAAGGGGATCCTTCGAGAATTCTACCAGGGTTCTATCGATGTAGTATAATGGTTCTCTGGAGTTTCAGAAACTTTTATAAGGGTTTGGTGGTTTAGGGGCTTGGGGGGTATGGGGGCATACGGCTTGGTTTCCAATTAGGTTAGGGTTTTTTGCGAAACTATGATACTGCGTTTATGAATGCGCAAACCTCACACCCTTAACCCAGAACAATGATTCCCGAAAAATCTCCACGCCGAAATCCAAAACCCATCATATACCCTACACCCTAAACCCTAAAACCCGAAAAACCCTCGACCCTAAACTCAATACAATCGCCAGAAGTTGCAACAGTCATTGAAGAGCAGAGGTTTCTTGCAGGGCCTTAATATTTAGAATAAGCCTTTTGGGGGTTCCTTATTATATTTCTATAAGTATAGCAATTATACCCCCTCTGTGGTGATTCTGGCTTGCCGGGGTGCGGCCAGAGAGCGCGGAGCCCCCGCTTGGCGTTGATGCCCAATTCGCGGCAGGCCTCGTCGTCGAAGCTTGCGCCTCCGTAGACGACTCACCAATACCCCTTAATTAAGGAATATAGCTTAAATCATATTATGCGCCCCCTTATAATTTAAGCTATATTCCTTGATTAAGGGGTATTGGGCTCTCTGGGAGCGACGACCAGGGACACGAAGGTGTCGTGGACCTCCATCATATCACGGACCCATGCCAGGCACGAGGGAAGCGCTGTTGCAGGAGCTAGCCACGGTACATGTGGCAGGGCCACGTGCAGAAACAGCAGTTTGGCAGCTGCGCGGGTTGGCAAGGCAAGGCATTTGGGGATTTCCGAAAATAGGGACCCCTAACATAGTACCCCAAATAGTAGGATCCTTATTGTAAGGACCCCAGAATAAGAACCCCCTATTTTCGCAAACTCCAATTTCCAACGCATCGAGCCAATGCCACGGTTGTGTCCGGGCAGGGCCCGCGCTCCATAGCCTCGAAGAGGGATGTTTGTCGTTGTACAGGTGGGTTTAGGGTTCAGGGGTTTAGGGTTTAGGGTGTGATAAAGCCTGTACTAGTATAGGTTTGGCTGACACTTTGGGATTTCAGGGTTTCTGACATGGGGTCGGGCAAACCCTGCTCTAACTATTAAGGCCCCTACATTAAGGGAACTGCTTCCACCCCCCCCCCCAGTTGACCCTAGATCCTGACAGCTCCAAAAGCCCTAAAAGACTTCTGAAAACGCCGCGAAAGAAAAAGCAAAAGCACCAAAACCCTTCAACCAACACCCTAAACCCTAAAAACCCTTAAAAAAAACAAGCCTGGAAAAAAAAAGCCTCCCTAAAGGAGGGATCCTCGAAAGTTTGCAGCTGGACCTCTCCACCATCCTTTCGCAGCGAGAGGGCGGCAGGGAAGGATGGGGTTCCTTTCAGGGCAGCGTTTCCGGGTTACAGTTTAGGGTGTAGCGGTCTAGGGTTTAAGGTTCAGGTGTTTCCGTTTAGTAGGGTGTAGGGCTTTAGGGTTTAGGGTTTAGGGGGTAGGAGGAAGGGGGCTGGGGGGGCGTCACGAATATGTAGAAGAAACTGACAAGGGCCGAATGAGGCCTATTTCAGAAAGTATGGGCATCTTCTGAACAATGAGGGGGCGAGGTTTTAGGGGCTAAAGCTTAGGGGTTGGGGGGTTTGGGGCTTAGGGATTGAGGGTTTTGAAGCTTCAGGCTATCCTTTCCGAGCGGACTGCGACTGCCGCGGCCAGTGGCCGGTACACTAACTACTAACACTGTACAGATCAACAGCTAACTACGCACGACAAAACTCCACTGGCGCTAGAGTGGTGCGGCCATCGAAAGATGTCTGTACGACTCTAGCTGGCGCTGTACAGTCTAGCTGCTGTTCGCTGGTAGTCGCTGTGTACAGTTTAGGTGGGCTGCTGGCACGTGAAGCTTGACGAGGAAGCACTGTGATGCTTCGTTTTCTTGACGACGACGGTGCTAAAGGATGCTAGTCTTGCCTGCATGCCCGTTGAATTGGTGGCTCATTGGCATCCCTCTGATGCACTGCAGAGCGTCATAGGTCCACAAAGGCTGGCGTGTGGTTGCTTCTCGCCTGTTGCGGCGGGTTCCACTCCAGTTGTGGTGTCGTCCTTGGTACCAGGTCCAGCTTCTACTGACTTTCACTCTGTGCAACAGCTCCACATACCTGCCTCAGGGTGGGCGTGTGGTGCTTTCCGTAGTGGTGCAGTCCCCGCTTGTTTGCGGTTTCAGTTACCTGCAAGCACTGACAGTCTGGGAAGTTCACGACGGCTCTTTAAGAAGGCGGGGCAAGAGACAGAGTCCTGCAGTGCTACAGGACTGCAGTCCAAGAGTGGAGTGCACATATTCACCAACAGTGTGCTGCTAAGGCTGCTCAACACGGAGCGCCAGAACTGCAAACTACTGGGAAAGGCCTAAGGGACCCGAAAGAGGGAGGGTGCAGCAGCAAGCGCACACCAAGCAGCTTAAGTTATTGGCAAGGAAGAAACCCTAACCCTGAAGAAATTTTTCCATGCTTGTCAGGTGCACAACAGCGCACACCTACAACCCAGGCAATTCAGTCACTTTGCAAAGGACAAAAGTTTTTGCTTAGGGTTAGGGGGCCTGGACTTGGGCAAGGACTTACCAGCAGCAGGTTTGGCTTTTGGTGCAACACTGGCAGCACCTGCAGGACCTAAACCTGGTAAACCTGCTTGGGAGTCCGACGCCCCTGCCTGTTTCTTAAAGGTTGCCTCAAGGGACAGGCTTTGCTTGGCCTCAACCTTAGCACGGGTGTGGGGGCTTCCTTGCCAGTCCTAGACAAGGGCTTTGCAAAACCTTAGTAGATGCCTTTGCAGCAATTTTAACAACCGCCAAGCACTTAGAACAAGCAAAAAGAGCGCCTTTGTTGACCATAGCATGAGAGCTATGAATGTCCCAGCAATTTTGCAAAGGAGCCTCAATGTCCTGGCAGGGATGCTGGTACTTGCGGGTAAAAACCTCCTGGCTGTTACACTGTTCAATGTAAAGCTGACAGCGCTGGCACTGAACTGCAAAGTTGTTGACTGCTTTAGACGGAGAAGAAACCCACAAGTGACCCAACCTAGTGGGCTCATTGACCAACTGTTGAAGCAGTTGCCTTTTGTTAAGCTTGGCAGGGGCAGAAGCTTGTTTGTTGAAACACTGCCCAGACCTCACCAGGCGCTGCCTTGGCTCCTTTGCATCAGGCTCCTTGTCCTCACGCTTAAGGACCCAAGGAAAAGACGGAGACGACAGGTTGTGAAGGATATGTCCTGCTTTCCTGGCAAGATGGAGACAAACATCTTCACACAACCTGTCAATAGGTCCCACATCCGGCTTAAAGGCTCCAGAGAAAGCCACCGCTGATCTGGCCCCACAAAGTTGATCAACGTCAGAGTTGAGGAGCCTCCTCCATTCACTGAGGTCTCTGTTGGCATAATAAGCCTCGTCTTTATGAGACGGGACCCACACTGCCAAAGCCCGTGTTTTTTCCTGCCATACACAGCCCCATGGGATTGGCCCCTCATTTGGCGGAGAGGAGCGCGCCAGAATTTGCACAGCACCCTGACAGTCCACTGTCACGTCAAAATTACCTTCAGTCCTTGAGAAAAGCTCGTAAAGAGCTCGTTGCTCACCATGCGCGACAGACAAGGGCTCTTTGGGCAGGCATGTGACACTAGCAGCACGCTCCGGGACTCCATCCTGAAGACGGTAGGCCGCAATGGCCCACGAGACACACAAAGCTCTTGAATCTTTTGCCCCGGGACCCCCTGAGGCTCTGAGGCATCACTGGCAAAAACATACTGATCACCTGGAAGGGCTTGCTGTTGACACCACAGCCCCTCAACAAGAAAACCAGTATCAGCCCTATCGTACTTCAAGCGGGTGGCCTCCCTGGGCACAAGCCCTCGAAGCCACAAACTCGGCCACGGGTAAAGCTCTCTGGCCTTGGCAAATTGGGGCGGCTCCGGAAATTTGGACTTTATGAAAGGGCATTGCCAAAGCACATGATTCAAGTCAAGAGCACAATTGCAAAGCTTGCAAAAACCTGGCTTGGACTCACTGATCAGGGCCCCTTGCCATACTGTCTGCAAATGCACATGTGTCTGCTTATTAAAAAACCGACGCTTCATGAGCCGCCTAGGCACTTTAGCATCAATGCCATGCACAAGCTGAGAACACCCAGCTAACAAGGAAGTGCAGTTATTACGGGTTTGCTCCCAGATCGGGTAGAGCCACTGCCAAACCTTCCTACATGCATCAAGACAATCCCATTGGATATGAAAGGCATCAGAACCATGTTGCCAAGAGGACGGATTGGGGGCTACAACACCTAATTCAAGGAGGTAAGCCAAAGTGGCGGACAAGGGGCCCGTAACCCTCTTCCAAGGATGTGGAGCCTCGGTAAGTCTACGCCACAAGCAAACCCACGTACTACTAAACTTAGCAGGGTCCGAAACCTGCCATCTGTAGAAAACACGGGCTATCGCACGAAAGTGTTGTCGCAAAATGGTAAGGTGAGGATCCTCACATTTGTGGCTCATAAGCTGAAAGGTGACGTCAAGGGAACCCAACTTTTGCCTGCCAATGGCCTTGGCACAAAGGGTCCTGTACCACTTACGGCGCTTGGGACTTACACCGATTGCTTGATGACCCCATAGGCCCGCTGCACACAGCGAAGCACGGATGATGCGGATCTTATGCGAGGGGTTGGTGAGGCCAAGCTTGTTGAGCTTAGCCGCTCTGCCACGAGCTTTACTTCTGCGCTGCTCTGCTAAACCCAGCAACCTCCTTCTAGCACCCCCAGAAGTAACCCCCAAATCCCTCGCAAAATTCTTCACCTGTGGATCCGACTCCTCTCTGATCTCAAGTAAACACTTTGCAGCCTGGGATGAAGAGGCAACAAAGGATGTCTTTTCTAAGGAAAGTTTAGCACCCCGGGCTTCAAGGTCATTGCGCAAACTACGGAAGAGTAAAACAGCATCTGTGGCAACCTGCTTGGCAGAAGCATGTATCGCATCTAGCGACATGTCGTCAATCCACACATCAAGGTTGACAGCAGCCTTCTTAGACTGAACTTTAGCAGCCACCGGGTGCACAACAAGCTTGCTGATGGAAGGAGCCGCCGGGCACCCAGCCAACACTCCCCGACCGGGGGTGATGGCCGGGCAAACGGAGCCCTCAGACTGTAGAAAGCGCGGCCCCATGTAAGTGAGCAATGCTTGGTGACGGATCAAGGGTGGATAGCCTAGCGAAATGCCAGATGTAATTACATCGTTGAACCTGCAACGATCGTAGAACGTCTCCATGTCGATGAAGATAGTTATGAGGTGTTGCCCAGATTGTCTGGAGGCCTCCCCCCGGAGCAGCCTCGAAAGCGCAACGTCTAAAACCTGACTGCCTGGCATTGCTTTATCCCACACCGCAACTCTGCAGTATTGGCCTTGCCAATCCGCCACAAGCTTCCATCTCAATCGCACCCAAGCACGATACAGAACATGTAAAAGTGCTATGGGTCTTTCCCGTTTGTCACTTTTCGGAAGTAAAGCAATCAGGGCAAAAACAATTTGGTCAGGCCAACTAGCCTCAAGCTCGCAATGATGGAGGAAAGCAACAATAGCTTCAACAGCAGGACGCTGCAGGTTTTGCAAAATCTCGCATGTCCATCCATCCAGGCCCGGTGCTTTGGTGGGAACCTTTTTGAAGGCCGCGACAGCCTGCTCAATGGGAATTGGCCCAAGTTCCCGCGCCTGCGACATAGCACGATGCTTGAGCTCATTGAAAAGTGCCTGGTCAACACCTTTGGGATCGGACCACAATTCAAACCACTGCCTCCATCGGAGATAAATGCGATCCTGGACGGGTTGTGCCAAGAAGGGCCTGAGATGAACAGCTTCCTCAGACTTAACACTGCGAAACAAACCCCTCAAACCTTTCAGCGAAGCTTGCCTCAACCACTTAAAGTAACCTGCGCTCTGCTGTTGCATCCAAGCCTTAGAGTGCATGCGAAACTGTTGAATGGCAGCCTCGTAAAGAATAGCGAAAACATCCGGATCAGCACCTCGGCCAAAATTTTTAAAATGGGCTTGCACCTCAGCTAGCTGCTTCGTCTGGCCATGCCACATAGAGCACAGCTGCGACTGCAGCTTGGAGCACATTGGAAGTTGACACTTACGCTGTTTGGAACACTCAAGCCAGGCTAAAATCCGCTTCCAAAATGCAGCCTGAGCTCCACCCCACACCCCAGCTGGGGCCGAATGGCACATCATTGTGGCTCTTTGAATTTTTGGCAAGACCCCCCTACCTTGAACAACTCCGAAGACCGAAAGCTCAACAGAGCCACTGAGTTCCTCGAAC